GGCCATTAGTTTTCTCTTTTGAATTATTTCACATTTTTATACGACAGCAAAAAAATTTTTGTGGTGGTATATTGGTATGACGTTGGCGTCGTCGTCGTCGTACGAAGACACATTGGTTTTCACACTCTAACTTTAGTTTAAGTGAATGGATCTCTATGAAATTTTACCACAAGGTTCAATACCACGAAAGGAAGGTTGGGATTGATTTTGGGGGTTATGGTACCAACAGTAAAAGAATTAGGGGCCAAAAAGGGGCCAAAAATAAGCATTTTTGTAACTTCCAGACATAACTTGTGTGTTAGTGTATGGATCTCTCTGACATTGTACCACAAGGTTCCATATCACAAAAGGAATGCTGGGATTGATGATGGGGGTAATTGCCTCAAAATTTTAGGAATTAGGGGCCAAAAAAGGGACAAAAAACAAGCATTTTTCTAGTTTCATGACAATAACTTGTGTGTAAGTGTATGGATCTTTCTGAAATTGTACTACAAGGTTCCATATCACAAAGGGAAAGCTGGAATTGAGTTTGGGGGTAATTGCCGAAAAGTTTAGGAATTGGGGGCCAAAAAGGGGCCAAAAATAAGCATTTTTCTAGTTTCCAGACAATAACTTGTGTTCAAGTGTATGGATCTCTCTGAAATTGTACTGCAAGGTACCATACCACAAAGGGAAGGCTGGGATTGAGTTTGGGGGTGATGAATGATAAGGGGGTTCAAATAATTTGGGGGGAGGGGATTTTTTTTTTTTCCTTTTTTTTCTTTTTTTCACTTTTTTTTTTCTTTTAAAATTTTCCATTTTAAGTTGGTTATTTCTGATTTATATTTAAAAGCAAATAATAATGATATGGTAGGAGATACACACCAAACAGGATGTGTAAATTATTGTGCAATAGCAAGAAATTTTCAATTGCACAGTATTGCACAATAGCAAGAAATCTTCAATTGCACAGTATTGCGCAATAGCAAGAAATCTTCAATTGCACAGTATTGCGCAATAGCAAGAAATATCCAATAGCACAATATTGCGCAATAGCAAGAAATTGTCAGTTGTACAGTATTGCGCAATAGCAAGAAATATTTAAGTGCACAGTATTGTGCAAAAGAAGATACTTCGTATAAATTGCTTATTTCTTGACCAATTTCAATGGGGTTTTATTCTTGAATTCTTGGGATTCTTTAATATGCTGAATCTAACCATGTAATAAGTTTTTGGATTTTGGGCCCCGTTTTTAAATTGGTCCACATTGAGGTCCAAAGGGTCCAAAATTAAACTTTGTTTGATTTCATCAAAAATTGAATTATTGGGGTTCTTTGATATGCCGAATCTAACCGTGTATTTAGATTCTTAATTTTTGGTTCCGTTTTCAAATTGGTCTACATTAAGGTCCAAAGGGTCCTAAATTAAACTTAGCTTGATTTTATCAAAAATTGAATTCTTAGGGTTCTTTGATATGCTGAATCTAAATATGTATTTAGATTTTTGATTATGGGCCCAGTTTTCAAGTTGGTCCAAATCGGGGTCCAAAATTAAACTTTGTTTGACTTCAACAAAAATTGAATATATGGGGTTCTTTGATATGCTGAATCTAACCATGTATTTAGATTTTGGATATTGGACCATAATAGGTGAATGTCCAATTTAAAATTTTTAAGTTCTTAGACCACATTCATTCTGTGTCAGAAACCTATGCTGTGTCAAATATTTAATCACAATCCAAATGCAAAGCTGTATCAAGCTTGAATGTTGTGTCCATACTTGCCCCAACTGTTCAGGGTTCGACCTCTGCGGTTGTATCAAGCTGCGCCCTGCAGAGCATTTTATTTATGTTGGTACCTTTTATAGCCGACTATAAGATAAGAGTTTTTACATGACTGCAAATTTTTTATAATGGTATGGCAATGTCGCCCTCAGCATTGTCGTCCAAAGACATTTAGTTTCCAGATAATAACTTGGGTATAAGTTTATAGATCTCTACGAAATTGTACCACAAAGGGAAGGTTTGGATTCATTTTGGGAGTTATTGTCCTACCTGTTTAGGAATTAGGGGCTATTACAAGGATTTTCTGGTTTTGGGGACTTTTAATGCAGAATCTAACAGTGTATTTAGATTTTGGATTTTTAGGCCCCGTTTTTAAATTGGTCCACATTGAGGTCAAAAGGGTCCAAAATTAAACTATGTTTGATTTCAACAAAATTGAATATATGGGGTTCTTTGATATGCTGAATCTAACCGTGCATTTAGATTTTGGATTTTGGGCCCCGTTATCAAATTAGTCCACATTGAGGACCAAAGGGTCCAAAATTAAACTTTGTTTGATTTCCATAAAAAAATAAATACTTGGGTTTCTTTGATATGCTGAATCTAATCATGTATTTAGATTTTGGACCAGAAAAGGTAAATATCCAATTTCAAATTTTTAAGTTCTTGGACCACATTCATTCTGTGTCAGAAACCTATGCTATGTAAAAATTCAGGGCTGTATCAAGCTTGAATGTTGTGTCCATACTTGTCCTAACTGTTCAGGGTTCAACCTCTGCAATCGAATCACTACCAAGGGAGGGATTTAATGACGTTGACTTCCCATAAGGGTCTCACACTGTTGTATCAAGCTGAGCCCTGCAAAGCATTTTATTCACATTGTTGCAGGCCCTATGGTTGCCTACAATTGCTTACATCCACTTCATTTAAACTCTGGTGAATAGTTGTCTTATTGCAATTATACAATTACCACATCTTATTGTCTCTCCTTGACGGAGTCAAAAAGCGAGACATAGGTATACTGTTTACGGCGGCATCGTCAACAATGTATTAGTTTGTGATAAGGTCTAGTTTATGGTGAACCACAAGTGGTAGGTCAATAATGATATTTGGTATGCAGTTGTATTAGCATTGGCACATCTCATTACCATGGAGATTATTTGGCCCCGCCCCCTCATTCATGGTCTATTGACTTTGAAACTTTTGCTTAGTTTTCATGTATTAGTTTGTGATTAGGTCAGTTTATGGGGAACCACAAGTGGTAGGTCAATGATAATTGGTATGCAGTTGTGAAAGCATTAGCACATCTCTTTTCCATGGAGATTATTTGGCCCCGCCCCCTCATTCATGGTCTATTGACTTTGAAACTTTTGCTTAGTTTTCATGTATTAGTTTGTGATTAGGTCAGTTTAAGGGGAACCATTAGTGGTAGGTCAATGATAATTGGTATGCAGTTGTGTAAGCATTAGCACATCTCATTTCCATGGAAAATATTTGGTCCTTACTCCTCAGTCATGGACTTAGAAACTTTTGCTTCGTTTACATGTATTAGTTTGTGATTAGGTCAGATTAAGATGAACCACTAATGTTAAGTCAATGATATTCGGTATGCAAATGTATTGGCATTTGCAAGTTTCATTTCCATGGAGGTTATATAACGCCACCCCCTAATTATGGTTCATTGACTTTGAAACTTTTGCATAGGTTACGGTTACAAGTTAATGTTTGTGTTTAGGTTTGTTTAAAGGGAACGACTTATGAAAAGTCAATGGTATTTGTTTTGCAGTTGTATTAGCATTGGCACATCTCATTTCCATGGAGATTTTTTAGCCCTGTACCTTCAGTCATGGTTCATTGACTTTGAATATTTGCATAACTTACATGTTAAAGTATTGCTATTTTAATTTCAAAATTTGCATTATCAAAATAACAAATAGGTGAGACATATCTCTGTGTTAACAGTTTTTTTAGTCCCCTACTGATGAAGTCGAAGGGGACTTTAGGTTTGCACTTCGTCCGTCTGTCTGTCTGTCTGTCCATCCGTCAGTCCGGCAAATCAGTTTTCCACACTTTTTTTGCTTGGTTCTTGAAGATATTGATTTGATATTTGGTGTATTGTTTTATCATGACCAGTAACAGATCAAGTTCGAATTTTGTTCCGGTCTGACGATTTTGTGCAGAGTTATGGTCCTTGAACTTAGGAAATTCACTCAAATAATCAGTTTTCCTCTCTTTTTTTCGTCATGCTTGAAGATCTTGATTTGATAATTGGTATACAGTTTTATCATGACAAGTTACAGATCAAGTTCGATTTTGTTCTGGTCTGATGATTTTGTGCAGGGTTATGGTCCTTGGACTTAGAAAATTCACTCAAATGATAAATTTTCCACATTTTTTTTCGTCATGCTTGAAGATTTTGACTTGATATTTGTTATATAGTTTACACCATGACAAGTTATAGATCAAGTTAGCATTTTGTTCCAGTACAATGAATTTTTAACTAGTAGGGGACTATGTATTGCCAGGCAATACTCACAGAATGCTTGTTTATAATGTATTAAATTTTTGTCCCATTGTTTTCAGGAACTACAAATCAAGGCTTTCTAAAATTTGGAATCAACTTTCATGTGAGCTTGCTATACTGTGTGATGCCCTTTTACATCCATCACTCATCAACTTCTTGTTAACTGAATATCTATAGAGAGGGTATCATTAATGAACAAAAGTTCACAGTTCAACTTGTTTGGTTTATATCAGATAAAAGAAAAAAAAACATGGCATTAGTGGTCAATTTATAATATTCTGATAGATCAATTTCAAATCTTGGAAGTTAAAATCTTTTTAGAACTGAACAGAAATGATAAATTGGAACTCCTTAAATAAATTTCTCATTTTATGTTGATCAGGTAACAAACCTGCCTTCAGTAATCCCATATGGGTTACTGCTTAATCCTGTTGATAAACCTCACTTCCTTTGTTTTTATAGGCTACTCTACTATTAAGACAGAACTTTGAAAAAAAAATATTGGATTGAAGATTCCTGATATAAATGCTGATTGGATGGCCTATATGAATGTCAGCAATTGACTTTATCTTAATATCATTGGTATTTTGCACACTTGATTTCTGATCAAGTGGAAATAATACATTAAATACAATTAGTTTTCAAGCTATTCAGCAGAAACCAAAAAATCTTGGATCACAATCAAAACATCAATGGACAGAATCAAAACATTCATAAAACAGATATTCCTTTTTTTATTTACAGTTTTATAAAAACAAATAGATATGAAACTGTACAACAATCATATTTATATAAACAGCATAAATATTTACAGGATATACAAAACAACTATTTTTTACAAACATGTTTATAAGAAAATCTATGTCACAACACATAATGAATAATTACTCCTTAAAGTTAACAGATTGTTAACATTACAGTGAACACATTTGTAGATAATGAACCTTATCTTCAGCTCTTGTCTAGGGAGATTCTTCATCCTAAATTAATAAATACATAATTAGTATAAATTGAACTTAAGAATTATAATATTTATGAAATAACTAATGTTGAAAAAAAAATAACTTGATCAAACAACACTATAATTCACAATTGCACTGTGACATCTTGGAGTTAAATATTTTTTTTATATTATTAGGTCTTTCCACCTTTCCGTGGAAAGACATTGGTTTTCTTCTGATTATTTTTTTTCTTCCGCCTAATTTTTTCTTGCGGTGTATTTTTGTTTCAAAAGTTGTTGTTTAGTTTTTATACGACCGCAAAAAAATTTTGTGGTCGTATATTGGTATGACGTTGGCGTCGTCGTCGTCGTCCGGCGTCGTCGTCCGAAGACACATTGGTTTTCGCACTCTAACTTTAGTTTAAGTGAATGGATCTTTTTGAAATTTGACCATAAGGTTAAATACCATAAAAGAAAGGTTGGGATTGATTTTGGGGGTTATGGTACCAACAGTTAAGGAATTAGGGGCCAAAAAGGGGCCAAAAATAAGCATTTTCTAGTTTCCAGACAATAACTGTGCAACGGTGTATGGATCTCTCTGAAATTATACTACGTTTCCATACCACAAAGGGATGGTAAGGATTTGCTTTGGGGGGTTATGGCTCAAACCGTTTAGGAATTAGGGGCAAAAAAGGGGGAAAAACAAGGTTGTCCTGGTTAATGGACAAATACTTTAGTACAAAACATAATTTAAAGCAGTGTAAGGGAGATAAATCAAATACATCATTGAAATTATCTCCCTTACACTGCTTTTAAATTATGTATAAAGTAATGGTTAATGAACAATAAAGATAATTTAAAACAGTGTAAGGGAGGTAATCCAGATACAATGTTTTAGTTACTTCCCTTACACTGCTTTTAAATTATGTTTAAAGAAATGCATATTTATAAAGGAAGACCAGTAAAAATATCTGCAAATGTTGCACCTTTTTTTTTTACAAAAAAATCCATATGAAAGATTTGACACTATATTTTTAATTCTATTATAAAATAGATTAAGTTAGCACTATGGTAAATTTAAATGGGTAATTATGGTTGCCAACTCCATTGGAAATTTGAATTGAGATTATGACTATATCTTGAGGGAAAGAATTTTTTGGGGGAAAAAAGGTGGGGGGGGGGGATAAAAAGAAATTGTGGGGGGTCAATTTTTTCTCATTTCAGATTTCAGAAATTAAAAAGAATTATTCTTCAAATATTATTATTTTTCAAATTTCAAATATTGAAAAATTTCAAGAAGTAATCTTTAATTGCACAGTATGGCGCATTAGATTTGTAAAATCTTTGATCACATTTATTTATTTGTTATGTCGAATCTAACAGTGTATTTAGATTTTTAATTTTGGGTCCAGTTTTCAAATTGGTCTACATTAAGGTCCAAAGGGTCCAAAATTAAACTTTGTTTGATTTTAGCAAAAATTGAATATATGAGGTTCTTTGATATGCTGAATCTAAACATGTATTTAGATTTTTGATTTTTGGCCCAGTTTTCAAGTTAGTCCAAATTGGGGTCCAAAATTAAACTTTGTTTGATTTCAACAAAAATTGAATATATGGGGTTCTTTGATATGCTGAATCTAACCATGTATTTAGATTTTTTATTTGTGGACCCCGTTATCAAATTGGTTCATATTGAGGTCAAAAGGGTCCAAAATTAAACTTTGTTTGATTTCATCTAAAATTGAATTATTGGGGTTCTTTGATATTCCAAATCTAACCGTGTATTTAGATTTTTAATTTTGGGTCCTGTTTTTTAATTTGGTCTACATTAAGGTCCAAAGGGTCCAAAATTAAGCTTAGTTTGATTTTAACAAAAATTGAATTCTTGGGGTTCTTTGATATGCTGAATCTAAACATGTGTTTAGATTTTTGATTATGGGCCCAGTTTTTAAGTTGGTCCAAGATAGGGTCCAGTATTTAAACTTTGTTTGATTTCAACAAAAATTGAATATATGGGGTTCTTTGATATGCTGAATCTAAACATGTATTTAGATTTTTGATTATGGGCCCAGTTTTCAAGTTGGTCCAAATTGGGGTCCAAAATTAAACTTTGTTTGATTTCCACAAAAATTGAATATATGAGGTTCTTTGATATGCTGAATCTAACCATGTATTTATATTTTTTTATTTATGGGCCCCCCTATCAAATTGGTTCATATTGAGGTCAAAAGGGTCCAAAATTAAACTTTGTTTGATTTCATCAAAAATTGAATTATTGGGGTTCTTTGATATTCCAAATCTATCCGTGTATTTAGATTTTTAATTTTAGGTCCCGTTTTTTAAATTGGTCTACATAAAGGTCCAAAGGGTCCAAAATTAAACTTAGTTTGATTTTAGCAAAAATTGAATTCTTGGGGTTATTTGATATGCTGAATCTAAACATGTGTTTAGATTTTTGATTATGGGCCCAGTTTTCAAGTTTGTCCAAGTTGGGGTCCAAAATTAAACTTTTTTTGATTTCAACAAAAATTGAATATATGGGGTTCTTTGATATTCCAAATCTATCCGTGTATTTAGATTTTTAATTTTAGGTCCCGTTTTTTAAATTGGTCTACATAAAGGTCCAAAGGGTCCAAAATTAAACTTAGTTTGATTTTAGCAAAAATTGAATTCTTGGGGTTATTTGATATGCTGAATCTAAACATGTGTTTAGATTTTTGATTATGGGCCCAGTTTTCAAGTTTGTCCAAGTTGGGGTCCAAAATTAAACTTTTTTTGATTTCAACAAAAATTGAATATATGGGGTTCTTTGATATGCTGAATCTAACCATGAATTTAGATTTTTTATTTGTGGGCCCCGCTATCAAATTGGTTCATATTGAGGTCAAAAGGGTCCAAAATTAAACTTTGTTTGATTTCATCAAAAATTGAATTATTGGGGTTCTTTGATATTCCAAATCTAACCGTGTATTTAGATTTTTAATTTTAAGTCCCGTTTTTTAAATTGGTCTACATTAAGGTCCAAAGGGTCCAAAATTAAACTTAGTTTGATTTTAGCAAAAATTGAATTCTTGGGGTTCTTTGATATGCTGAATCTAAACATGTGTTTAGATTTTTGATTATGGGCCCAGTTTTCAAGTTTGTCCAAGTTGGGGTCCAAAATTAAACTTTGTTTGATTTTAAAAAAAATTGAATACTGTAAATTCATAAATTATTGCGAGGTTTTTATTAATGCGAATAATGCGACTAGGTTAGTATCGCAATAATAAGAACTCGCATTCTGATATCTTATACATATATCTGTATGCAGATTTTCCTGACATCGCAATAATTAATCTCGCATTTTTGTCCATTCTTCAAAAATCGCAATAATAAATGCACGCAATAATTTCTGAATTTACAGTATATGGGGTTCTTTGATATGCTGAATCTAACCATGTATTTTGATTTTGGACATTGGACCATAATAGGTAAATTAAAAAAATTCAATTTCTTAGACCACATTCTTTCTGTGTCAGAAACCTATGCTGTGTCAAATATTTAATAACAATCCAAATTCAGAGCTGTATCAAGCTTGAATGTTCTTTCCATACTTGCCCCAACTGTTCAGGGTTCGACCTCTGCGGTCGTATCAAGCTGCGCCCCAGCAAAGCATTTTATTTGGTATATGATATCATACAGTCTATACACTTTTGAAACTGACCCTGTTTAACCGAACATCTTTCTTTGTAAGAGTTATCTCTCCAAACACTGTTTTTCTTGTTATGAGATCTCCTCCGCAACCGTAAAAGAAAGCGACAAATTTATTTTTCCAAATTGCTTGTTATATCCTCAGGATGTTAGGTTTTATTTAGACCAAAGCTTTACGAAGACTCCATATGAGAGTTATTTCCCCTTTTGTATTTGATATATGTGAAATGTATTTGTAACTGGAAAACCATTAGTGATAGAGGCCTAGGGTCTTTTGATTTGAGGTCCTTGGTCCATAAAAATGAAAATGAGGTCATGGTCAAAGGTCAAGGTCATGTTAAAAATTTTGATTTTGGCTTGTTATCACTAATTTTCAGAAATCTTATAAGATATCGACAAATTTTTTTACAGAATTGTTCGTTGCGACATGTCGTAACACGTAAATTTGAGTTGAAAGGGTACGGAGACATTTAATGGGAGTTTTCTCCCCTTTTATATTCAAAATTACATGTAAGGTGATATAACTCATTCATCTTATATAATTGAGACCTAGGGTCTTTTGATTTGAGGACCTTGTTTCATGACCTTTAAATTGGGGTCAAGGTCAAAGTTTAATTTGACGTTCTATTTTTTTTCTTTTTTTTCTTCCGCCTAATTTTTTTCTTGCGGTGTATTTTTGTTTCAAAAGTTGTCGCTTAGTTTTTTGGTATTTGATATCATACAGTCTATACGCTTTTGAAACTGACCCTGTTTAACCGAACACTTTTCTTTGTAAGAGTTATCTCCCCAAACACTGTTTTTCTTGTTATGAGATCTCCTCCGCAACCGTAAAAGAAAGCGACAAATTTATTTTTCCAAATTGCTCGTTATATCCTCAGGATGTTAGGTTTTATTTAGACCGAAGCTTTACGAAGACTCCATATGAGAGTTATTTCCCCTTTTGTATTTGATATAAGTGAAATGTATTTTTAACTGGTAAACCATAAGTGATAGAGGCCTAGGGCCTTTTGATTTGAGGTCCTTGGTCCATAAAAATGAAAATGAGGTCAAGGTCAAAGGTCAAGGTCATGTTCAAAATTTTGATTTTGGCTTGTTATCACTAATTTTCAGAAATCTTATAAGATATCGACAAAATATTTTACAGAATTGTTAGTTGCGACATGTCGTAACAGGTAAATTTGAGTTGAAAGCGTACGGAGACATTTAATGGGAGTTTTCTCCCCTATTATATTTAAAATTACACGTATGGTGATATAACTCATTTATCATATATAATTAAGACCTAGGGTCTTATGATTTAAGGTCCTTGGTTTATGACCTTGAAATTGAGCTCAAGGTCATAGGTAAATTTAAAGTTCTAGATTTTGACCTTTGCTTTTACCTCATAAGTATACATGATAAAGCCATGGGACTTTTTGCATTAGGTTGCAAGACATTTGAACTTGAAAAAGCCAACCGGAAGTGACCTTTTGTAAACCGGAAGTAGCTATTTTTTGTATTTAATTAATGTAAAAGTATATAGACCAATATATTTTTGGAATCAGTGTCAAGTAAACTATCAAACAATACCAGAAGTGACATTTTTCAAACCGGAAGTAAAAAATTATCTCCCTTATTTATATCTTTTTGTATAGAAACCATATATTTTTGGAATCAGCGTACAGTAAGCTGTCATTTGACTCTAGAATTGACATTTAAAACCAAATTTTAATATTTCATATCAAAATAGATCCTTACTGGTGGAAAGACCTTCAATTGTTCTCTGAACAATTGGTTTTTAATTATTCTTGGATAAGTTCTTTTGATAAGATCTACTAATAATTTGATTAAATTATAAGATGAAAGAATTCTATCTTTTCTACTCTTTTGTTACTGAGTTTGGATGCGACAATATACAATTATTGCCTTCATATGAGGTTATCTTCTCAATTATTAACGTCTTCCACAAGGAAGACGATTCTTCAATGGTTAACAATTATACCAAATCTGAATTTAGGAAAACCAAGCCAGCAGCTTTACCCTTTGACAGTGAAGTTTTTACAATGAAAGTCATGTTGTAAGCATTATTTTTTTTTACTTAGTGCAAAGAATTTTTTTAAAACCTACATTTTCTGATGTCATATCTGTCATATTATGGCATTATACCGCTATTTGTTTGAATTTTAAGGATCTTAGAATATATGCTATAATTAGTATTCAAGTAGTAAAAGTTTGTATTTATTCTTTAGTTTGTTTAGAAAACTTTCTACACAAAAAAGTGTTTTGCATACAGGGAAGAATTACCGGTAGTCAGTTAAACAACAGAAATTAGAATACTGAAAGTATAAACAAACATTGATTCTTATTTTAAAAAGAAACTTGTCTTTTCAGTGCTTATATGCTTTGATTTTTAAGTATAGAAATACAAGTGAATAAAAGATAATGGGTATTAAGTATTATTATTCTTTGATAAGATAAGCAAAATATAAATAATAATGAAAAGGATATATAAAGATGCTGATATTTTTATTAACATGTATTAACATTTTCTGTACTTACTAATACTACTTCTGGAATAACTGATGTTGAAATAGTACTGTTTAAACTTTCTTCATTTTCACTGCCAACATTTTTTTCTAAAAGTAACAAAATCAGTCAAATTCAAGAACTGTTGATTCAGACTGAACGCTATGACCAATTGAAGTGTTTATCTGAATAAAACTCGAGGATATTAATAGTCAATATTGTAGGAAAAAAGGGTCAAGCCATACATAATATGATATCCAAAGTAACATAAAATAGGTAAGTATGGAAAATGGGTGGTCCAGAATCAATGCTCTTTCTATTCAAAACAGGACAACCCTGACCTTTTGCTATTTATAAAAGAAAAGAAAGGATATGAGATATCCATCCATGACACAAAATCAGTACATGCACAGCAAAAAAAAAACACAAAAAGCAAATGACAGTTTATAACAAGCAATGCTCAGGACTGGCATAGAGCATCATTCCACTGCCAAAAATCAGGAACCTGAATACATATACCTGCAGAATGAAATTATACAGCTTATAAATCTGCCTCTTATTGTAAAGTTTAATTCTTTTTTTAAATGCTCTGCCTCAAAGAAAACCAAACTAAAAGCTGCCAAGAGTGTGAATTTTTCACTTGGAAAAAAATAAGCCATTTTGAACAGAAATTACTTAGTTTCTATTATTACCTTTTTAAGATATTTTAAGGCTGAGAAAAGGTTTTATTTGAATTTACAGATGGACAAAGCACCAAGTGATGACAATAGATCACAGTCACCCACAATATGAGCTAAACATTAATTGAATTTATAGGGAGAGTAACATATTCTCTGCACATTAAAGAAGCCTTTTAACACACTGAGGGAATGTTAGATTGCCAGTTGACAGTCAAATTGCAGCCTTTATCCAAAATATCCTCATTTTCCAGTGGCAGCCCAAAGTTCAGGTCGTTAATCCTGGTCATTGCACTTTACAGAGTCTACCTATTGTATTGTCCGTAATATGCATGAAGTTTGCCACTGGACCTTAAACAAACAACCAATATGGTAAATAAAGAGTTTGATTGTAGTTTTAAATAAGTGAAAATGTAATACCTTGATTTGATACAACTGCTGGCATACATGATGGGACATTAATACATTCTCTTACTTGGAAGCTCTCTCCTGTAAACAGTTATGTTAAAAAAATGGTGATATTCCATGTCTGCATGTTTTAAACACAATTCAAAAATATAATTCAGCTGAAGCTTTGAATAACAAATAACAGTATGTAAGACAAAATTCAAAGATATATACTCGGATATCTGTCAGAAGGATATTATTTGACAGAAAAATAACACTTTTTATTTTCGAATTAAAAGACCAAAAGGTGGCCTTACACCATCTCCTTTGCTGTGTAAATGAATTTTAATGTCAATTTCTTTCTGGGAAATGTTTGCCAACCCTTCGAGCAAAGTGAATATGTAATATGTAATATGTAATATAAAGTTGCTTTTGAGTTTGATATCTTCGAAAAAAAACTTTTGTTGGTTCATGCATGTGGCCAATGTAGTCTGAAGCAAAACAAAACTATTTCCTTGTTTTGGGACTGGACATAAACAGGCCCTCTGTCGAACCTGAAGATTGATAAATGTGTGTGATTATAGCTAACCTTGACAGCTTTCTTGTCCTTGTTTTGGGACTGGACATAAGCAGGCCCTCTGTCGTACCTGCATTGAATTTAGACCAGTACATGTGGCTGTACATGGAGACCAATCATTCCACTGACACCACTGTGGATCATCTACAAGTGAGAAAAGGCAAATCGTCAAATTCAACGATCTAAACTATTATACCATAGTTCGTACACCACTCTGTTAAATTTTGAGGACTAAATAAAACATTTGGTCCATTCAACCAAAAATGTTATGATCCAACTAGACCTCAAAATGCTGGAATCTTGAGAAATTATATGTATTCGTAAATATGATGATTGCGCCTGTTAAATGCAAAGCCTGTGTTCATTCAATCATATGCAATAGTAATCACAAACCGAATAAAACCGATGTACAACCATACATTTTATAGACCATATAGCATATGTTTGATGCAAGGAACTATGGATAAATGAATGAGTTTTGTTGCCTTTGACAATCTCTTGTGAAGTTCAACCATTTTTCTTTAAACATGCGGCAAACAAAAATGAAACATTCACTCACGCCCTCGAGGCATGAATTCTTGCTCACACCAACACAATCTTACAGTAGCAGTAGTTTATATGTGCCTCTTATCATTATATAATGGCACTTAAAGAACTGCTGCAATAATAATGTGTTGACATACGCAAGAGCATGTTTAAGTGCTGAGTAATAACGAAATTATGTTGAAATAATTGTAAAGTTAAAAGTAAATAAACAGCTGCGATGTCGCATGATACGCCCGTTGCTTTTTCAATAGATATAAACCAGTCACCAAAGTTTCATGAAACTGCTCAAGGCATTTTTTAGTAATTGTCCGAAAACTGGAAAATCCCCCTTTTTTAATGAATAAAACCCCATAACTCGGAAACGTAAATTCTAAAATTCATTAAATTCGAAAGGGAGCTCACATCAATAGACATAAACAATTCACCAAAGTTTCATGAAAACTGCTCAAGGCATTTTTGAGTAATTGTCCGAAAACTGGAAAATCTCCCTTTTTTAATGAATAAAACCCCATAACTTGGAAACGTAAATAAAATTTATGAAACTCGAAAAAGGGAGCTCACATCAATAGATATAAACAATTCACCAAAGCTTCATGAAAACTGTTCAAAGCATTTGTGAGTTATTGTCCGAAAACTGGAAAATCCCCCTTTTTTAATGAATAAAACCCCATAACTCGGAAACGTAAAATCTAAAATTTATTGAAATCGAAAGGGAGCTCACATCAATAGACATAAACAATTCACCAAAGTTTCATGAAAACTGCTCAAGGCATTTTTGAGTAATTGTCCGAAAACTGGAAAATCTCCCTTTTTGTCGAGCCTTCGACTTTTGTCGAAAAAGCGAGACATAGCGATCCTACATTCCGTCGGCGTCGTCGTCGTCGTCGTCGTCGTCGTTGTCGTCGGCGGCGTCCACAAATATTCACTCTGTGGTTAAAGTTTTTGAAATTTTAATAACTTTCTTAAACTATCCTGGATTTCTACCAAACTTGGACAGAAGCTTGTTTATGATCATAAGATAATATTCAAAAGTAAATTTTGTAAAAAAAAATTCCATTTTTTCCGTATTTTACTTATAAATGGACTTAGTTTTTCTGCCAGGAAACATTACATTCACTCTGTGGTTAAAGTTTTTAAAATTTTAATAACTTTCTTAAACTATCCTGGATTTCTACCAAACTTGGAAAGAAGCTTGTTTATGATCATAAGATAGTATGCAGAAGTAAATTTTGTAAAAAAAAAATTCCATTTTTTCCGTATTTTACTTATAAATGGACTTAGTTTTTCTGCCAGTTAACATTACATTCACTCTGTGGTTAAAGTTTTTAAAATTTAAACAACTTTCTTAAACTATCCTGAATTTGTACCAAACTTGGACAGAAGCTTGTTTATGATTAAAAGCTAGTATCCAGAAGTAAATTTTGTAAAAAAAAAATTCCATTTTTTCCGTATTTTACTTATAAATGGAAGTTAGTTTTTCTGCCAGTTAACATTACATTCACTCTGTGGTTAAAGTTTTTAAAATTTTAACAACTTTCTTAAACTATCCTGGATTTGTACCAAACTTAGACAGAAGCTTGTTTATGATCAAAAGCTAGTATCTAGAAGGAAATTTTGTTCCATTTTTTCCGTATTTTACTTATAAATGGACTTAGTTTTTCTTCCAGTTAACATTACATACAGTCTGCAGTTTAAGTTTTTAAAACATTTATTAGATTCATAAACTATCCTGGATTTTTACCAAACTTGGACAGAAGCTACTTACAATCAAAAGATAGTATAGAGAGGAATATTTTTATTAATTTTTTTCCTCAGTTTTGCTGAGCCTGTGATTAACAGCAAAAAGTAGGCGAGACACTGGGTTCCGCGGAACCCTTACGAATTTTTTAATGAATAAAACCCCATAACTCGGAAATGAAAATAAAATTTATGAAACTCGAAAAAGGGAGCTCACATCAATAGATATAAACAATTCACCAAAGCTTCATGAAAACTGTTCAAAGCATTTTTGAGTTATTGTCCGAAAAACAGGAAAATTCCACTTTTTTAATAAATAAAACCCCACGACTCGGAAACGTAAAATCTAAAATTTATAAAAATCGAAAGGGAGCTCACATCAATAGATATAAACAATTCACCAAAGTTTCATGAAAACTGTTCAAAGCATTTGTGAGTTATTGTCCGAAAACTGGAAAATCCCCCTTTTTTAATGAATAAAACACCATAACTCGGAAACGTAATATCCAAAATTTATAAAATTCGAAAGGGAGCTCACGTCAATAGATATAAACAATTCACCAAAATTCCGTGCAAATTGGTTAAAGCTTTTTTGAGTTATTGTCCGACATGTTGACGACGGACGGACGGACGGACAGACGGACAACGGTATACCATAATACGTCCCGTAAACGGGCGTATAAAAATTTATCAATGCTCCAAATGAATTCACTTCAAAGGCAATAATATAATGAATTATTAGTTAAGGTGGAGAAACGAAGAATATATGTTTAAATTAGAACACCTTCCCAAAATCTACAATGTTTTCCCCCTGAATTTAAATGTCACTTTATTTTGATATTTGTTGTGTCCTTGCAGTCAGTGTTTTTTTTTAGCGAGGAATCGCATTAACAACCATGGTGACCTACATGATTTTTCTCTAAATGAGTACACTTTATATAATTCCTTTGAGTGATCTCGAAAGACTAGAAACCCCTTACGTAATATATATCAATTCATTGTGTAAATGATGCGCCGAATAATGTGAACGCTTGCATAGTCAGGCATAAATGAAAGTGGGTGTTCTAACATGGGAATACCAATATGCTGAGATGACGTATATTTGAAGCAGGCAAGTTTATTCACCGACAAAAATCGGATGTTATTTAAACGTTTAATATGCCTAACATGTAATCTAATACCACAGAAAAGCAGTAATACTTATGTTCCAGTGGACAACCGTTAAAAGTTGACTTATACAATTAATAAATAAACAAGCATTCTGAGAGTATTGCATAGCAATACATAGTCCCCTACCGGTTAAACATTCAACCGTCGTACACAATCATCGCACAAGTTGGCACTCCGAGGCGGGTGGGGAGCAAGAAGGTGAACTGTGGTTTATTTTTATCAATAGTACCGCTTAAGTCGACGCTAGGGGCCGTCTTGACCTTGTTGTAGGGTATAAATGATTCGTTCATTATTGAAGACCCTACATCAACTGTTAAGATGAAGAACAGGAATAAAAGCCCTGTTCATTGATAATTTTCTTTGTTTTCTATGTATTGTGTGCGATTTTGTCCCGTGTACATTTACTCCATATCCTTTCATTTTCTATTATACTGGAACAAACTGCTAACTTGATCTTTAACTTGTCATGGTAAAACTATATACCAAATATCAAATCAATATCTTCAAGCATAACCCCAAAAAAAATGCGGAAAACTGATTATTTGCGTAAATTTTGCGAAAATTTTCTAAGTCCGAAGATCATAATGCTGCAAAAAAAATCTTCCAAACCAAACAACATTCAAACTTGATCTGCAACTTTTCATGGTAAAACTATGTATCATATATCAAATCAATATCTTCTAGCATGATGAAAAAAAAATCGGAAAACTGATTACTTAGATATAAGAAGATGTGGTATGAGTGCCAATGAGACAACTCTCCAACCAAGTCACAATTTATAAGAGTAAACCATTATAGGTCAAAGTACGGTCTTCAACACGGAGCCTTGGCTCACATCGCACAGCAAGCTATAAAGGGCCCCAAAAATTACTAGTGTACAACCATTCAAACGGGAAAACCAACGGTCTAATCTATATAAAAAACGAGAAACGAGAAATACTTATGAATCACTTGCCTGAATTTTCTAAGGAAATTAAATCTGCACAAAGTTATCAGTCCGGAACAAAATTCAAACTTGATCTGTTACTGGTCATGATTTAACTATATACAAAATATCAAATCAATATCTTCAAGCACGAAGAAAAAAGTGTGGAAAATTGATTTGCCGGACTGACGGATGGACAGACAGACAGACGGACAGAGTGCAAACCTAAAGTCCCCTTCGACTTCGTCGGTAGGGGACTAATAAAAGCATTGCATTAGAAAACACAAGTGTCTGGAAACTTAGCGCCGATAACCATGCAACATTGTTGTCTCATACTTACTAGCTCCAGGACAGTCCTTGTCATTTACACAGACTCTTGTTTCTGATCTGAAGCCACGACACGGTCTTCCGCCATGTTTGGCCACAGGTTGGGTACAACTACGGGATCTTCTATGTTGTCCTTTTCCACATGGTGGCCCATAACATCTCCCCCAGTTAGTCCATGACACCCAACCCCCATCGACTGAAATGTATGTACACACATTATTAATATTATAACTGCATTTTAGAATTTAAAAAAAAAACATGTCTCAGAAACAGAAGATATGAATCAACAAAGATCTTTTGTATACATAAAAGAGGTAAACGCAAATCGACATCAGAAACATGTATGTTCTATAGTTTTGATTATCCATCGTTTCATCTGAATTTGACTTAAAATCTTTAGCAGGTATTGAGAATTATTGTCATGCAAGATAGAGTATATGAATATACGTCCCGCCTTGATTTCATGGTCTTATGATTTTTTTCGTTATCCGATGAGAAAATATTAAATGTACTAGAAATCCCAAAAGCCAAAAATGTAAATATCATCAGCACATACTGTAGCAGACAAGTATGTTTTTTAAGTAAAAGCAATGATTTATTATTACTAAATTTGTAGCACTTACTTGGACAAACTATCGGAAGTCTACAAATCTGCTGGTCGGTATCGGAACCTTCACAATCGTTCCCACCAAACAATGGTTTAGGACTGTCACATGTCCGTTTTCTGATCCGTTCTCCTTCCCCACATGAGACGGGACATGAGCTCCAGGATGACCAAAGAGACCACCCTCCATGTTCTGAAATGCAAAATTTCTTATTTTGTGTCTTGGGAATAACAGATTTGTGTCTCAAAAACCAATCGATGTGAATTCAACTTTGGATTTCTAAGTCTAATTGAAAGTATATTACTAACTAAATTCTGCTATGAAATCATTATTTGCTTATCTCCGATTTTAATTATAGACTATTTTAGATCTGATTTTACCAAGTGACTATTTTTATATAAGTATATATAGGTGTACAAACACACCATAAAACTAAACTGCAGAAAAATGACAGAAAAATGTTCAAAATCAAATTTTCTGTGAAGCAAATAGATCAACCTACGTGGGCATTGCCTATGGTTACATCTCTGTTGATGGACAGGAAATCCACTACAATCTTTGCCACCATTGACTGGTGCTGGATTATTACACTCTCGTGTCTTTGTCATCATACCAAATCCACATGTCACACTGCATGTAGAAAAACTGGACCATGGTCCCCAGTTACCATCCTCTATGGAATAAAATTGAGAATGGAAATGGGGAATGTGTCAAAGAGACAACAACCCGACCAAAGAGTAGAAAACAGCCCAAGGCCGCCAATGGGTCTTCAACACAGCGAGAAAATCTCGCACAAATACGTTTGTGTCAGTTATTGAAACAAATTAAGATGTGACAATAATTTAGCGATGATAAAAGAAAATCGCTATGTGTTACCGAATCAAAGCTTTTTTTTTAACGTAAAGGGTATAAAATTTGAATGTAAAAAAACTCATTTTCAGTGTACATTTTTGTAGCTGTAACAGTAATCTCCAGAAATGTGAATTATAGCTTCTAGGTTTGAAAAAAAGTACTTCTATTATTACTAACTATAAATGAACAATGTTGTCACTTTTGCCTGTGATATGTTATCAACAATGTAAGTATGGGGTTACTTTATAAAAGGGAATACATAGCTTTCATATTCATATTCAATTCTTTGTTTCCATCAATGCCAATTCGCAAGTACAGTTTATTTATATGGAAACTGTGATTTGTAGAAAATATGAGAAAAATAACATACCTGGACATTCATCTTCATTACATTCCTGTACCCTTTCACTCTTTCCGGGACAATCTTTCCCCCCATGTGTCGGTGGAGGGTAATTACATCTCCTCTCTCGTCTGCGGGTTCCACCACCGCATGAATCCGAGCAAGGAGACCAACCGAACCATGGACCCCAGTTTCCATCCACTGAAAGCAAAAATAATACAAGCTCACTCAATTGTAATTTTGTATACTGCAAAAACTACAACCTGTTATACATTTGTTCTTTTATGTGTTATAATCACTATTTCGTTTCAATTAGAAATAATTTCTGTATAAAACAATACATGCGATGGTAAATTTTTTTATTCAGTTAGATTTAAGAATAATATAACGGTTGATTCAGCTTTGTTTTATCTAATACGGTACCTGCACAGTAAAAGTTTTCTAGGCATGGTTGTGACTGGACGTTGTTAAAGTGGTTCATATCACAGTTAGTACAGAGCTTATATCTGGACCTCCAGCCTGCTCCACAAGACACGCTGCATGCACTCCAATGCCCCCATTCCGGGCTTTCTGAAAATTTATATGACTATAAATGGAATATTCATAGCAGTGGTAGGCCTTACATAATACCATAACAGACACTTCCAGAATTGGACGAACTCTTAGATTGTTAACATGTGGTGTTTTGTACCGCAAGACAAATAAACAGCTGCGCCATGAGCGCATGATACGCCCGTCGTCTTGTGTGTGAATTTTTATGCAATAAGCATAAATAGTTTCTGACATACGGCGTGATATGCGAAAACCCCCTTTTTTTTTTACAAAAAACTCAATATCTCTAAAATAAAATTTTGAATCAAAACCAAAAAGTATACAGATCTTTAGATTAATATAACTAAGAAGTGTGTAAAATTTTAAGCAATAATCATAAATCGTTTTTGAGATACGGCGCGACATGTGAAAACCCCCCCTTTAAAAAAAAAAAAAAATCAATATCTCAAAAATAAAATTTTGAATCAAAACCAAAAAGTATACAGATCTTAAGATTAATATAACTAAGAAGTGTGTAAAATTTTAAGCAATAATCATAAATCGTTTTAGAGATACGGCGCGACATGTGAAAAACCCCTCCCCCTTTTTTACAAAATACTCAATAACTCAAAAATAAAATTTTGAATCATCACCAAAAAGTATACAGATCTTAAGGTTAATATAACTAAGAAGTGTGTAAAGTTTTAAGCAATAATCATAAACTGTTTTTGAGATACGGCGCGACATGTGAAAAACCCCTCCCCCTTTTTTAACAAAATACTCAATATCTCTAAAATAAAATTTTGAATCATCACCAAAAAGTATACAGATCTTAAGATTAATATAACTAAGAAGTGTGTAAAGTTTTAAGCAATAATCATAAATTGTTTTTGAGATACGGCGCGACATGTGAAAAAAAACACACACCTGTTTTAGTTACTAAGTCCCGTAACTCAAAAAGTTTTAATCTTATTTTCACCAAAAAGTATACAGATCGTTTGACCATCATAAGAAACAACTATGTTAAGTTTCATGAAATTTGGATAAGTCATTCTCAAGTTACGGTGCGACATGTTTACGCCGGACAGACAGACGGACAGACAGACAGACAGACAGACGGACGCCGGACATTTTGTATAACATAATACGTCCCGTCAAAAATTTGACGGGCGTATAAAAACGATAAACGTTATACACATACAAGAAAAGTAAATAATATAATATTATTAATTCGTATATTTTAACAAATTTGATTCGTTTAGGGATAGTCACATGTTAAACTATATTTTTGAAGGTAGAGGGAAAACGGCGGATAGCAAAAAGCATATTGCACAGCAAAATGCATATTGCACGGTTATTTTTAGAATATCTAAAAACCGATATACTTTGTGACGTCATGTAATGAATTTCAGGATATTGTTCAACGTTTTGAAACAAATGACATCTGTGATCGATTATTTGACAAAAATTTTTTTCAAATACATAAGATGTCAAACAAACAAAAAAAAGTAAATGAAATAACAACTAATATGTTGTTATTGTCAAGGAGACAATATAATATCTATAAAATTCCAACAAAATCAAATGACGATTTTGATACAAATATGGTCGAAAATTAATAATATAACAAATATAGCCTTTGTATGAGGTCAATACAGGATATATCGACCCAAAGAAGTATATCGACCTCGGACTTCGTCCTCAGTCAATATACTTCTTTCAGGTCAATATATCCTTGTATCGACCTCATACAAAGGCTATATTTGTATAATATTGCAGACGATTCTATATATATAAGCAACCTACCTATCAACCAGCAAATTAAATAGGTATCGGATCGACTCGAATTGACGATACTACACGAACAGGAAATTATATCTTTGTCATAATTTTCATACATGCCGATTTTTAGAGACTTATAATTCCAATAACTTTTCGCTCTTACATCCTATAACATTGAAGTTATGGTAATAAGAGTATTGCAATTAAAGGTGTACACGCATACTTGTTCAAACATCTCATACCTGAAGATGTTTTTGAATTTGATGTGATAAGAGTACTACAAGATGTACTCACATACTTGTTCTAACATCTCATACCTGTACTTGTTTTTGGAGTTGTGGTAATAAAAGTACTACAAGATGTACACACATAATTGTTCTAACATCTCATACCTGTAGTTGTTTTTGGAGTTGTGGTTATACGATTACTACAAGATGTACACACATAGTTGTTCTAACATCTCATACCTGTAGTTGTTTTTTGGAATTGTGGTAATAAGAGTACTACAAGATGTACACACATACTTGTTCTAACATCTCATACCTGTAGTTGTTTTTGGAATTGTGGTAATAAGAGTACTACAAGATGTACACACATACGTGTTCTAACATCTCATACCTGTAGTTGTTTTTGGAATTGTGGTAATAAGAGTACTACAAGATGTACACACATACTTGTTCTAACGTCTCATACCTGTAGTTGTTTTTGGAGTTGTGTTAATAAGAGTACTACAAGGTGTACACACATACTTGTTCTAACATCTCATACCTGTAGTTGTTTTTGGAGTTGTGGTAATAAGAGTACTACAAGGTGTACACACCTACTTGTTCTAACATCTCATACCTGTAGTTGTTTTTGGAGTTGTGGTAATAAGAGTATTACAAGGTGTACACACCTACTTGTTCTAACATCTCATACCTGTAGTTGTTTTTGGAGTTGTGGTAATAAGAGTACTACAAGATGTACACACATACGTGTTCTAACATCTCATACCTGTAGTTGTTTTTGGAATTGTGGTAATAAGAGTACTACAAGATGTACACACATACTTGTTCTAACGTCTCATACCTGTAGTTGTTTTTGGAGTTGTGTTAATAAGAGTACTACAAGGTGTACACACATACTTGTTCTAACATCTCATACCTGTAGTTGTTTTTGGAGTTGTGGTAATAAGAGTACTACAAGGTGTACACACCTACTTGTTCTAACATCTCATACCTGTAGTTGTTTTTGGAGTTGTGGTAATAAGAGTATTACAAGGTGTACACACCTACTTGTTCTAACATCTCATACCTGTAGTTGTTTTTGGAGTTGTGGTAATAAGAGTATTACAAGGTGTACACACATACTTGTTCTAACATTTCATACCTGTTGTTGTTTTTGGAGTTGTGGTAATAAGAGTACTACAAGGTGTACACACATACTTGTTCTAACATCTCATACCTGTAGTTGTTTTTGGAGTTGTGGTAATAAGAGTACTGCAAGGTGTACACACATACTTGTTCTAACATCTCATACCTGTAGTTGTTTTTGGAGTTGTGGTAATAAGAGTACTACAAGGTGTACACACCTACTTGTTCTAACATCTCATACCTGTAGTTGTTTTTGGAGTTGTGGTAATAAGAGTATTACAAGGTGTACACACCTACTTGTTCTAACATCTCATACCTGTAGTTGTTTTTGGAGTTGTGGTAATAAGAGTATTACAAGGTGTACACAAATACTTGTTCTAACATTTCATACCTGTTGTTGTTTTTGGAGTTGTGGTAATAAGAGTACTACAAGGTGTACACACATACTTGTTCTAACATCTCATACCTGTAGTTGTTTTTGGAGTTGTGGTAATAAGAGTACTGCAAGGTGTACACACATACTTGTTCTAACATCTCATACCTGTAGTTGTTTTTGGAGTTGTGGTAATAAGTGATCTACAAGGTGTACAAACATACTTGTTCTTCTTTCCTGTTGGTACCTATAATTGAAAAAAGTATAAAGCACATAAAAATAGTTATCGTTGACTGAGTTAATTCTGTTTTGATCAATTTGTTTATCATTATCCGAAATATTTAATGTTATGGGATATGTTTTTGGCTCTCCGTGTCGAACTCAAAAAGTTGAATATTCAATCTTTTTAACCTTGTCATGATTGCCACAGACCGGACGAAATTTCAAATTGATGTTTTGCGTCCTTCAAAATCGGACAGCAGAAAACAAAAATGAAACAAAACATAGCTCCACCCAACAACCCAAGAAGTTTAATCTGTCGCATCTTAAAGTATGATTTTGGATCTAAAAATTAAAGTTAACAATTATGTATGGGTTATTTTTTGTTTGGTGAATGTTTGGTGCTTGCTTAATGTTTCATTGATATCTACCTAACAACTTCTTCAGTATAGAAGAGATCATGTATGTGTTCTATTTTTATTTACTGGACCTCTTACAAGCAACCAGTAGAATGCTCACCCTCACACTGTAAAATCCTTGTCCTTTTGTTTGACAACATTTTTCGGGAGTATCAAACTTGTGTGTCCTCTTTTTGACTGGTCCTTTACACAGCTCTCTCTTTTTGAGAAATTTTCGATAGCATGTGAACTGACCTGAAAGAAATCAAGATTTGTGAGCCATAAAAATGAACTACATACTGATGTCGCAAATATCAATAAGCTTCAAGATTTATTTTCGGATCGCTCGCATTAAATCCTATAAAACATTATTGATTTGGTGTGTCCGAATCACTTGTCGGGATTTAACCTTCATGAGGAACGCTCAAACTCGAAAATTTGAAAGCCAGTGATGTACAAACCTCTAAATACTTGCAAATACTTGAATATTTTAGGATCAATATTGCCACAAGAGACATAAAAGAATAACCAAATTCACCACGGGTCAACCTTACATGAGGGAGTTAGAATCAAATAAAGGTATGTTGGTTATCATCTCGATGCCGTAGCAATGGCCCTGAGCTGACAATACCCGCGAGAACTGCAGCAGCCTTGAATAATCTCTGATATACATAATACATAACATGGATAACAATAATTACCAGAAATATGACAGACCACACCTACCACCAGCACCACAACTCCTCAGAAAAAAGTACAAACAAAAACAAACGTTAAAAAGAACAACGAACAACACATTGTACAGGTAACCAGACAATGTACAGGTACACTCTATGGTGGTGTTTCATAAAATGTTACATGCGACAAACCTCCCATATTGTCTATAAACACCATGAAAAACCATTGGAAATAGCTCAAGTCAAAAATATTTCCAAACCGACGATTTATTGGTCAGTTAGTACCAAATAAGCAAGCTTGTGTTTATTTTGTCAATGAATATTCCTGTCTCATTGCTCTCTTTTCGTTCAATCTTAATATACACGTTATCCGTAGTATTTAGTGGTCTATATAACTGGTGGTCATTTCTTATAAAGATCGAGAAAAGAAAGAAATATAGGCTGTGTTTTATGGACTGTTTTTATGGTACCGCCACACAGAGGTTGGGGCCATATAGTTTTATCCTTATCCGTCATTCCACAACGAATAATTATATGGACTTTTTTCCAAAAGCCTTCTCATATTGAGCCGATTTTTAGTATGTGAGTCTACTATGATGAGTTACAGATCGAGTTCCCGTTTGGTTCCGCTCTGCTGATTTTTGTGAAAATAAGTTATACGGACTTTTTTCTAAACGACTTCACTAATAGTGCTGATTTTTAGTATGCGAGTCTACTATGACGAGTAAGTTTCAATTTACGTTTGGTTCCGCTCCGCTAATTTTTGCCGAAATTTCGGACTTTGGACTTCTAAAATTTCGTGGAAATAACAGTTATACGGACATTCATTCTCAAATTTCCACTCCTAAAAATTGGTTCAATTAACTTAAGCTTTTTTGCGAGCGGGGTCATTCGTGTCGTTCCGACATATCTTTTTTTTTTTACTTTTCGTCGTTGTTCGTTTTTTTGACATGGTATTGTCTGCTTCTTATTAATCTTTATGAATTAATATGTATAGAACTTCTGTCCAAAATTTCAATTTACGTCAAAATTTGGCATGGCCTGTTAGCAGACAATAACTAAAAAGAGAATGTCTTCCTTCACTGTATGCGTTTGTTTAAACTGGAAGTTACTTCTGTAGTTTACAAAAAGAAAAGCTATAAATTTAATCAATGATTATAGCCTGTGTAAGCAACATGCTGATTGTAAGTAATTTTCAATGTTGGTGAATAGGTTTTAAGTGCAACTTCAAAGGATGCATTATAATCATTCAGTTGATTAGGATTTAGAGAGTATCTTCAACTCGTTTACCCCACAAATGTTTAGTCTGCATGCCATCTTCAAATAGAGAATCAATTCAATCTGTCCCTCGAGATCTGAAAATATCAGTTCTAGTTTGTGTACGTAATTTTGCAATAACATGACATAAAATCTGTTAGACATTGTTTTCTTCCAAAACTATCATGCTTGTAGTACTTCTGGTGCGTGTAGCAGCATAATGGTAATTCGAAGTGTTCTAATTTATTAAGAAATAATCCTTTAACTGTTCCTTAATTAATGTGTTTTGTACCATTCATTAATGGCCAGACATCGATTTCCAAATGACTAAAGTTTTGGGAATTTCTCTCCATTAAAAATGTTTTCTTAATGGCTATATTGATCTTTATTCTGTAACTGTCAAAATTATTCCAGTCGAGATTCAATCGGAAGTCCACCAAAACGAATGGTATAGAAATATGCTTATGTTTAGAAAAATGCCTGTTTTCAACTTTTTAAGTAGCTAAACAAATTTGAAATTGTTCATTAAAGTTTACTATAATTATTTTTGTTTAAATAATCTCTAAAATCGATCAAAGAACAATTTTCTACTCCGCAAAATTGAAATATACCGAAAAAGATTTTAAGAAAGAAACAGATAATTCGACAGTGTACCTGTAAAAAACTGTTAAAATCACTTACCATTTATCAATATTATCTGAAGAGAAATAAATATCACAACCAAAGAAAATACATCCAGCTTCATTTTGCGTCGTAATGAAATAATGAATTCAAGTATCAATCAACAATCCGACGCATTAGCACTAATTACTATCCACTTAGGTTAACAGGTGCCCTCATTAACAAATAACAACGTAATATTTATATCTACCCACAAATAAAATATTTTATACATATTTTACTCTCATGTTTCTGTAGATAACACCACGTAATTTAAGTAGGGGTCACGCCAACAGGAAAATGATTTCTTCTCTTAATCAGATTAAATGTTAGGTCTTCTGACTTCTTTGTCGGATTCTATTGTTTTTCTGTTGTGTTTGTTTATGTATTGATGATAAATTAGTAATTTACATTAATAGGATTAGCTTTGTATTGATTGCTGATAACAGGTACATGACTTCACAAAAAAATATAGACCACTTGAACCCAAAAATTATGTTTATTTCAATGATTGGATAATTGGAATATCGGTTCCATTCTCTGAAAGTGATGATTAATGTGTGAGCAAAATTGGTTTCAGTTACTCATTTGATAACAAAATTATCACCGAACGGGTTTATCAGTGTTTATATTTTAGACACCTCAAAAGTACAAAATGACAAATTCTGAGAATTCAGGCTCCGAACACAATGAATCAGCTGGGAGTCTGCACACTATCATATTTATGACCTTCTCTATATACATAACCTACAGCGTATTATGTAATGTTGATTTAGAACAATACAATCCTTTATAATATATTGTCTGTTTACTTAATCACTTCATGTGTACTTCTATAGTTCAGAAAATGCAAGCATTTTATTTGAATATTAATGTAAGATTCTGAGAAGTACAAGTGATGCAAATAGCATTTTCTGAAATCTAGCTTGGTCAGGCCTGCAACTAATACATGATTACATATTGGTCCCAGGTCAGGTGGATTTTCCAAAATATTGATAATAGTTAAATAATTTTTCAATCAATTACATTAGAAATCTTACACTAAATGTGGTTGCTTCTTCCATCAGATGTTCATTCTAGCAATAGACTTTTGTAATAGCTGGGAAATCAAGTGCCAAATCCATGTCATATATTCATATACATAATCTATAATATTATTAATTCGTATATTTTAACAAATTTGATTCGTTTAGGGATAGTCACATGTTAAACTATATTTTTGAAGGTAGAGGGAAAACGGCGGATAGCAAAAAGCATATTGCACAGCAAAATGCATATTGCACGGTTATTTTTAGAATATCTAAAAACCGATATACTTTGTGACGTCATGTAATGAATTTCAGGATATTGTTCAACGTTTTGAAACAAATGACATCTGTGATCGATTATTTGACAAAAATTTTTTTCAAATACATAAGATGTCAAACAAACAAAAAAAAGTAAATGAAATAACAACTAATATGTTGTTATTGTCAAGGAGACAATATAATATCTATAAAATTCCAACAAAATCAAATGACGATTTTGATACAAATATGGTCGAAAATTAATAATATAACAAATATAGCCTTTGTATGAGGTCAATACAGGATATATCGACCCAAAGAAGTATATCGACCTCGGACTTCGTCCTCAGTCAATATACTTCTTTCAGGTCAATATATCCTTGTATCGACCTCATACAAAGGCTATATTTGTATACTGTCAATATACTCAATACAGACATTAAGCCTCGATCATCATTTACAGTAATAATACAATTGAATAAGCTAAATAAAAGAAGTTTTGGATAAGAGCATATTAAGGAGATAGTATAAAGTGTACATTAGATATAAGAAACAGGGGGCAGGAGTATTTTAAACATGAATAATTTGGCCTGGTAAGAACTGATAAGGATTAACTTTGCACAAGATAGCATGAAAATGAATATTCCCCAAAATGTAGGAAACGAATGTGTACACAAGTGAAAATGAATTTTCGTGAGACAAGATTCGTGCATTTTCACAGCTCATATACAAGTTAAGGACTTTCACTGAGTTGAGTGAAGGGCAAAGACAAAAGGTATCAAACCATTGTTCAATGTCAAAATTTATGGAAGTCATTCAGTTCATACTGTTAACATTATATTATACTGCTCTCCTGGGCTCTTTCCATCACATACATTAACAAGAACAGGTGTCCATATAATGCCTATCTCACAGGCGCTTGGGGAATGGACCCCCCTTTTTCTAAATATTTTTTTTTTTGTATTTTTAATTTTTGATAGTAAATATTCTGTGATGTTTTGACAAATTTTCACTTATTTTATGTGTTCTTGCTCTTTTCCATACTATATTACAATAACAGTAGTTTATAAATTTTGACCTTCTATTACAATAGCAGTTGTTTATAAATTTTGACCCTCTATTATTTAACATGTTAAACAAGTAGATGTGTTAAACCAAAACTTTCACCAATCATATTTCCATATTCAGTGAACTATGAAATCCTGGTATTTTGCATTTATATATTTTTGATAGTTCACTTCATAATGAACATGTGTACTACCTTTCAAGTTAATGTGAACGCAAAGTTCCTTGAACCAAAACTTTAACCTGGTGAGGAACGGACAGATGGAGGGAAGAACACTCATGAAAATATAATGCCCCTCTACTGTAGTTTCACAGGTTGGGCATAAAAATGAAACTACTGACGACCTTGAAATCTCTTATATATCGATCACAAGGCAAATTTGATTCCCTTTTCAAGGACTTATTGACCAGGAAAATCTTTTAGAAACATGGAAAGAAGAAGGCACAATTTCTAATTGTTCATTTAATCATCATCAATGAAATGTTACATAAATATAAATATATAATATCAGTACAATATGTACAATTCATTTATCAAAACTAAATAAGTACAAAGTATTTTTTTTCTATTATCATTAAAATGATCCTAGATCTTTTTTTCAACAATGTATTTGAGCAACTGTTTGTAATTTTAATTGCAACCAAACAATCATCATTTTGTAACTTGTTGGGTGAAGAGAAGAATAACCAATGAAATTAAGCTTGTGTTGTACACACCAAGAACAAAAATGACAGTCTTGTATAAGTTCAAACTCTGTGCTTTCAGTTACAGGAAGAACATGTTAACATTTTGTTTCACCATTGTACAGTTGTTAAGATAGTCCAAGTTTTAAACAAGTCAAGTATAAATAAGGTTCCCTAGTCTTATACATAAAATTGAGAAAAGAAATGGTGAATGTGTCAAAGAGACAACAACCCGATCAAAGAGCAGAAAACAGCCCAAGGCCACCAGTGGGTCTTCAACACAGCGAGAAAATCCCGCACCTTGAGGCAGGCTTCAGTTGGCCCCTTAAACAAAAATGTGTACTAGTTTAGTGAAAGGGGATGAATGCAATGCTAAGTCAATCTATGAAAATCAGAATTTACTGAAAAAAGCAATACATAAATAAAAAATACTTTTAAATGTGCTATATAACAAGTGAAGATTATAAGTTTATTAAATGCTAATCAATTCATTTCAAACAATAGTTCCACACTACTGGATTGTTGTTTTCTTTTATGTAAAACAAAACAGAGAAAATACAATAAGTTTTAATGCACTAACAATTATAAAATTGGGAGGTTTCACCAATTCAATATACTAGAGAAAACGTAATATTTGAGTAGAATTATCAAACTGCATATAATTAATCACATCCATTTTAGCATGGAATAAACAATTTGAATATATCTGGCTAATCAGGTGTTTATTCTTTTCACATGCATCTTGTGACAGCATCTTAAGTTAGACCTTTAATAACCTATGCATTAACAAAATAGCTTATTTTAATCAATAAAGTTCATGGCTAACATTTTATTTTGCTTTCCCAAAACTGTGCAATTTCTACAACAAATTATCCCAAGGAAGGTGTGCTATTTGCACCAGCAATTTATTTAAATCAATGTTTTTGGTCTATATTCCTCCTTTGTTGATTCTTTTTCAAAAGATAAAATTGCTTACATTTCTTGAGAATAACTAGAGCACTAATATCTCAACTATTCACTAACTTTTTTTTTTGCACATACAAATATACATCACATAAAGAAATGAATGTTATTTACAACTGTCATCTAAAATTTTTGATTTAAAATCAACAGCACCACATAATATCAACAGCAAACATGCATATCACAATCAGGCGAGTGGAAGAATATTTGTTGAACATTTTTTATTCTAGATTTAAAGAACTAATGAAAATTTTAAAAGTTTGTTTGATATCACATGGATTTTGGTGCAAGTTGATATTCAAATATTTGATGGCAATCCTTTTTTTGGTAAAAGTGTCAATTACAAATTTTGAGTCCAAATGACAAGTAACTTTTTTGTGTATGGATGGATGTTCAGTATCAAGCAGGTAATTATTCTGCCATATTTAGCTTAGGAACATATTCATATGATATAAGCAGAAACCTTACTTTGTTGTAGACCTAAATGCAGAGCACAACTTGTTTAAAGAACTTAGCCCAACAAGTAACAGTCAACAGAAAAATTGGTCATGCCCCAGGCTTAATGCCTCATACTGAACAAAAAGGCTGCTATATCAATTTTTAAAAAGTTTTGAGTTTGACTTTGCAGAGGATCAAACCTGAGGCAATATGATTAAAATGAGATGTTGGGTATTTTTCAATGAGACTGAAAACCAACAACAACACAAAAAGGCATTTACAGGTCAACCTAAAATCTTAAAAAATAGAAAAGCCATTTATACAGTGTGTCAAACTATAAGCATGCTACAATGCAAATACTAAGTCAGTTCCAGTAATCTTAGACTTAAAATTACTTGATTGATTTCTGCTTGCTTAACGTCCAGTGGAAAAACTTAAAGGGGCATTAGCTGTCAAATTCATGTTCACCGATTTGACTCAAATTCTCATATTTGATTTATAACATACTAAAACGTATATTCAAATTACAATAAGTCTGAAATAATCAATTAACAATACATAGACTGGATAACATTTATCATCATTTCGTGTGTATTTTAGTCTAGACGCAATCTAATTAACCATCAAGATGACCTCTGAAGACTGCTGATGGTCACATAACCGGATATAATAAGTTAATCATCGTTTATACCTGTATAAGAATGATTTTTGGTGGATCGAATCAGTCAAAGAAATGGTTCAACTTTGTTTCACTTTCAATGTTGACATCTTTTCCTTTTAATGGCTGAACATGACTAATACATGCGTAACCAATCTGTAGCTACTGGGTTAGATTGAAGGTCACATGAAAACAGATTCAATGAATTCGAATTATTCACTTGCAAGAGAATAATTCATCAACAATGTTTCTTAGATTATTTTGACATAATTGAACTACACTGACTGCTAAAGGCGAATTATTATTTCACTATTTCACTTTCATTAATGATTGAACAAAAAAAATCATATTCTATTTTTGTTATATCTCGCAGCTAATGCCCTTTAAAATTGATAAATGACTGTAGGGTTGAGGTGAAATGTAATTATATATTAAAAAGTTACAAAATTATAGCACTCTCTTTGGAATGTAATGTATCAAACATATGACAGTTGAATGTAAAAAAAAAATGATCCAGTTATTATGATATTATTAACTAAGAGATAATTTGCAAAGATGCCATAGAATTTATGAGAATAAAAAAACAAATAACTAACAACTCACTCTGGTCTAGAAAATTATAATATCAAAAACAGTAAAAATGTTATTTTAGTTATGACAACAGTAACACTTCCATCTAAAAAGTACAAATTAATATCAGCTCAACTATTTAGTTAACATTTCATAATTTTGTTTATGCCTTCTCCACTCAGTTACCGGGGCATATAGTATTACCCATTTCATTCCTAAATCCAACAGTTTTCTAGAACTTTTTTGTTAAGTCTGTAGATATTGAGGGGATTTTTGGTTTATGAGTGTATAGCAATGACTTGCAGATCAAATTTGCATTTCAATCTAGATGACTAACTTTTCACAGAATTATGGTCTTTGGTATTTGTGCTGTCTTAACAATTCTGGTTCTTTAGAATCACATTTCATATATTTAGTCGTGTTACCATAAAGCTTCTAAATATGTTTAAATGACCAATACAGTTTCAGATCAAACCTTCAAAGCAATTATTGTATATTCCATATTATTGAATAGGAAATACAAAATATATTATTTTCTTACTAGTACATATTATATAAAGGCAGACATCACTGTTTAACTGCATTACATCTTTTGATACTATTGTTCAAGAGCCTAAGCCTAAGCCTATTAAGTCTACTTAAGCTTTAATATATAGCAACTGAAATCTATTTAGTTTTTAGAAATTTAACTAGCTATTATCTTTGCAATTCAATATATCAAATATCCTTAGAATACTTCGGTATTTTGTTTTTCACTCGCTTAATAAAAAACTTTAAAACAAAGAGTTGATTTTCTGTGACATCTCAATCTGATACAGAAGTAAAATATAATATAAATACATTTGGCACTAGTAAAGAGGAACATATAAAATAAAATGCAGGAAGAAAATTTATTCCAAGTCAGTTGGTGAGAATGTTTCATTTTTTTCCAAGTCAGTTGGTGAGAATGTTTCATTTTTTTCCAAGTCAGTTGGTGAGAATGTTTCATTTTTTTCCAAGTCAGTTGGTGAGAATGTTTCATTTATTCCAAGTCAGTTGGTGAGAATGTTTCAAGTTCTCTTTGTCGTTGTATTAAACTCTGAAAAAAACACACACAGAACATGATTGTTGGATTTATGCAGTAATCAGGAAAATAAAAACTAATTTTTACAATTTTTTCGACCAATGTCATTATTTATTTATAAGAGATATTTCCAAGTTTTCTCAACATTGCATAATTGTCTATTGGTCTCTATATTGGTAACATGTTGTTAACAATTCAGTATGTGTGTTTCTAATTGTTTGTTTAATTTTATGTTAATCTTGTCTTATTTGTGTTTTGTTTTTATTTGCACTGTCTTGCCTACTGGATTTGTGTCTGCTTCTTTGGTTGTGTTAGTCTTGCCTTTTCTACAGTGTCAGTCCTTAGTGCTGTTCTTGACCTTGTGTTGTGAGCAAGTCCTTTAAAACAGCTGTATTTGTATTTGTACGTATACTGTCTTGATTTATATAATGTCTTTAGAAATTCCTTGTTCTCCTTATAAAGTACTGCTGCATATTTCTTTTGAAAGTTATCATTAAGGAATATGAGTAATTGATACAGAATTATATAGTGTACTGACCTCTTTTAGACTGGAAAGTTGATTCAGTATTTGATCTTGTCTTTGTGTGGGATGATTCTTGACTAGAGATGGGTTAGTAATGGGGTCCTGAAATATGTACGTTAAAGCTCAATGAATGACTGGATATATGGTTTACTCTAATATCTTAAAGTCATTCATATATTATTTCATTAAACCACCACTTATTTATGATGGATTATATATTTCATGCCAAATCAATTCTCTTCATACTATGGTATTCAAATTTTTTTAAGTTCAGTATTTCCCTTCAACATAAATTATGTTGTTCCCTAAGGACTAATTTTGCAATTAAATTTGAATATATGGCTATGAAAAACAATCTTTTCATCTAAATTTTGAATTAATATATGACTAAGATAATGAATAGTTACATTTAAAAATACTTATCTACTGGCAACTTAACTAATCACTGGCAACTTAACTAATCACTGGCAACTTAACTAATATATCAGTTACTTTTAATCAGTGTCAAGAACTTTGATATGTAATGTAGGTAAATAAGTTGGAATTTTATATTTCACGTTCTGGAATGCCATTGATTTTTTAGAATTCATGATAAGTTCCTTAAGAGAATGCCCCCTTGAACATGTTGAATACAAAATAAAAATGTATAATACAATTCAGATGTCCACAAGTTTTTAGTTTTTTCAATTGCAGTACTTGTATTTATATTTTTTGAATTTTGCCTTACACATTTGCTTTAAGCCTTCGATATATATTTTTGCATTTTCTGAAAAAATACAAAAAATGTCAAAATGACCTCAATTTAAGGAACTTGATGAGCCAAGACCTTAACCAAAAATATATTTTGCTACAAAATGTCTTATTCAAAGATTTTACTGCAGGTAAATTTCTTGGCTGAAATCTAATTTTGCCAAAATATATGTTTGTTTAAACATTTTTATTATGTCACAATGACATCAAAACTAACAAAGGGAAATCATGTTTGTCTTCCTCATTTCAGAGGCCTAGTCTAATGATTTTATGAGCCTTCAATATTCATATACCAGTAAACACTAAAATTTATGGTCAAACATAATTTTTTTTTTTAAAGTATCTTTCTCGTTTAAAATATCTTACTTAACATGATTAAAACTGTTTAAAAAAAACATAGCAAATGCCATTATAACACATAAAAAATACACCATAAACTTCGGAGGTCAATATCACATGCAGTGGATAGGTTCGGTAACACTGAAGAGTCACAAGTGCTAGTATACTCGACAAAACACTCAATGATTATATGTTATAACATAGAATGTGAAAAAAGATCAGAAACTATATACTTTCCCACAGATTTATCCCAAAGACCACTTTAAAATACCAACTTGTAATATTTCTACACAATGATAATCAGATTAAACAATAGGAAATATCAAATTTGAACTGTCTGCATTATCACTTATATTGGAGACAGTTATAATTAATTCATCATTTATATTTGTACTAACTGTACTTTAATGTATCAAGTATATTACAAATTTTTGTAAATTTAAAAGAAATTCCAACTATCCTAGTGTTTTTCCTTCTTTCCTTCTTTTTAAAGGTATATCAACATTTAATTATTTTTTTAATTGAAACTTTTCTCTGTTACTTGAGGACTTTTGTTTTTTCTTCCTGCCTGTGTGACTGATGTTTTACAGAGCACATGAAAAAATAAATGAGTATACTTGTGCTGTTCAATGAAATTTTCATGAGAAGATATTGGTTACAATTAACCATAAAATCTGTTATTAATTTCTTGTAACTAAGCAGTTCCTTGTGAATTTAATAGGAAGCTTTCAAAACAATGTGCAGGTAAAAAAATGCTAAGGTTTTAAACAGATAACAAAATTATAAATGCCTGAAGATAGCCCAAAACTGCATTGTTAACAAAAAGCAAAATTATGTTGGAAGTAAATTAAGCTATACTGCCTTTCAGATATAAATTCATATTGGTAAGAAAGTTTTTTGATGCAAAAATTGACAAACAAATTTGCAACACCCACATGTAGCGCTGAATAGAATTTTGTTTTTATAGAAATGTAAAATTGTGAAACAATATTTTAAGTATATGATAATATTTAAGTAGGATTTGACAACTTTTCCATTTGTAAAGGGGCATAACTCTAGAACGATAAAAGTGACGCCATCAAATTTCAAACTTCATCTGTGTTTTGTGGTAATAAGCATTGTGTAATAAGTTTTATAACATTTAGTTGAGGCAAACTAAAGTTAGAGAACGGAAACCAACTTTGGGACATACAGACTGACAAGGGTAAAACTTAATGCCCCCTCCACTACGGCGAGGGCATAAAAATCCCAAAATTCAGAAATGTAAAATCTAAAATTTATTAAAATGGAAAGGGAGCTTCAATAGATATAAGCAATTCACCAAAGTTTCATGAAAACTGATCAAAGCATTTTTGAGTTATTGTTCTACATGTTGACGACAGACGGACAATGGTATACCATAATACGTATAATAACCTGCTTCGCCTAGCGCAGCTGGATACAACCGCAGAGGTCCAATCCTGAACAGTTGGGGCAAAAATGGACACAATATTCAAGCTTGATACAGGTCTGAATTTGGATTGTAATTAAATATTTGACACATTATAGGTTTCTGACACAGGATAAATGTAGTCAAAGAACTTGAAATTGGTTATATGATTTGAATTTATATTCAATTGAAGATTTCTTGCTTTTGTGCAATACACTGTGCTGTTGCGTAATACTTAGTAAATCTGTTTTCAGACTATATACAAAGAATTAGCAAAATAAATTGTGACCCCCAATTTTTCTTTGAAAAATGACAATTTCTTAAATCTTGAGGAAAAAAAATTGACCCCCTAAAATTTTTTTTTACCCCCTCCTTTCCCCCCCAAAAAAAATATTAGAAGAAATCTTCTTTTAAATTTCTTAAATCTTGAGGGAAAAAAATTGCCCCCCCCCCCCCCCCCCCACTCTCCTTATTCGAAAAAAATAACATTTGAAGACATTTTCTATTTGTAAAATGTGGTACAATATGAGAAAAATCCATACACTTAAACACAAGTTATTGCCTGAAAATTAAAAAAATGCTTGTTTTAGACTCTTTTTGGCCCTTAATTCCTGAACGGTTTGGGCAACTACCCCCCAAATGAATCCCAACCTTCTACTTGTGGTATTGAACCTTGTGGTACACTTGTGGTACAATTTCAGAGCAATCACAATACTTATACACAAGTTATTGTCCTGCAACTAGAATAAACTGCTTCGCTGAGCGCAGCTGGATACGCCCGCAGAGGTCCAACCCTGAACAGTTGGGGCAAAAATGGACACAATATTCAAGCTTGATACAGGTCTGAATTTGGATTGTATTAAATATTTGACATATTATAGGTTTCTGAATAAATGTAGTCAAAGAACTTGAAATTGGTTATATGAATTGAATTTATATTCAATTAAAGACTTCTTGCTGTTGTGCAATACACTGTGCTGTTGCGCAATACTTAGTAAATCTGTTGTCAGACTATAAACAATTAAAGTTCAATTAATTCTCAATGTCATATTAGAAATTTATGAAAATGTAAAGGGAGCTTACATCAATAGATATAAACAATTCACCAAATTTATGAGAATTGCTGACAGCATTTTTGAGTTATTGACCGAAAACTGGAAAATCCCCCCTTTTTTGATGAATAAAACCCCATAACTCAGAAATGTAAAATGTAAAATTTATAAAATTCTAAACGGAGCTTACATCAATAGATATAAACAATTCACCAAAGTTTCATAAGAACTGCGAAAGCATTTTTGTTTTTTTGTCCGAAAACTGGAAAATCCACCTTTTTTTATGAATAAAACACTAACTGGAAAATCCACCTTTTTTTATGAATAAAACACTGTAACTCGGAAACGTAAAATCTGAAATATATAAAAATCTAAAGGGAGCTCATGTCAATAGATATAAACAATTCAACACAATTTCTTGGAAGTTGGTGAAAGCATTCTTGAGTTATTGTCTGAAAACTGGAAAATCACCCTTTTTTTTAATGAATAAAACCCCATAACTCGGAAACGTAAAATCTAAAATTTATAAACTAGAGGCTCTAAAGAGCCTGTGACCTCACCTTGGTCTATGTGCATATTTAACAAAGGACACAGATGGATTCATGACAAAATTGTGTTTTGGTGATGGTGATGTGTTTGTAGATCTTACTTTACTGAACATTCTTGCTGCTTACAATTATCTCTATCTATAATGAACTTGGCCCAGTAGTTACAGTTAAGGAATGACTGTAATATTTTTTCTGTCTATGAAGACATTGTAGCGGGTTATTTTAAAGTGTGCACCACATTTTTTATGTTATTTCGAATAGACAGAAAAAATATTACAGTCATTTCTTATAATTTAATTCTAAATTCCATTTTAAACCGGAGTAAACCATGAAAAAACGTTGATGACGTCACGGTCACATGACAAAATCATGTCTATGAGCTGATAAACAAAACAACGTCAGCCAATCAGAAGACGCGTTACATCCAAAATTAAATTATTGGAAAATATTTGGAAAAATTTACAAAAATTTACAAAATTTATGAAAATTGTAAAAAATTGACTATAAAGGGCAATAACTCCTTAAGGGGTCAATTGACAATTTTGGTCATGTTGACTTATTTGTAGATCTTACTTTGCTGTACATTATTGCTGTTTACAGTTTATCTCTATCTATAATAATATTCAAGATAATAACCAAAAGCTGCAAAATTTTATTAAAATTACCAATGCAGGAGCAGCAACCCAACAACGTGTTGCCTGATTGGTCTGAAAATTTCAGGGCAGATAGATCTTGACCTAATGAACAATTTTATCCCGTCATATTTGCTCTAAATGCTTTGGTTTCAGAGATATGAGCCAAAAACTGCATTTTACCCTATGTACTATTTTTTAGCCATGTCGGCCATCTTGGTTCGCGGGCGAGGTCATCGGACACATTTTTTTTAACTAGATACTCTAATGATGATTGTGCACAAGTTTGGTTTAATTTGTCTTAGTAGTTTCAGAGGAGAAGATTTTTGTAAAAGATTACAAAAATTTACGAAAAATGGTTAAAAACTGACCATAAAGGGCAATAACTCCTTAAGGGGTCAACTGACCATTTTGGTCAAGTTGACTTATTTGTAGATCTTACTTTGCTGAACATTATTGCTGTTTACAGTTTATCTCTATCTATAATAATATTCAAGATAATAACCAAAAACGGCAAAATTTCCTTAAAATTACCAATTCAGGGGCAGCAACCCAACAACGGGTTGCGCGATTCATCTGAAAATTGCAGGGCAGATAGATCTTGACCTGTTAAACAATTTTACCCACTGTCAGATTTGCTCTAAATGCTTTGGTTTCAGAGATATAAGCCAAAATCTACATTTACACCTATGTTCTATTTTTAGCCATGGCGGCCATCTTGGTTGGTTGGCCAGGTCACTGGACACATTTTTTAAACTAGATACCCCAATGATGATTGTGGCCAAGTTTGGTTAAATTTGGGAAAGTAGTTTCAGAGGAGAAGATTTTTGTAAAAGTTAACGGACGACGCCGGACGCCAAGTGATGAGAAAAACTCACTTGGCCCAAAGGGCCAGGTGAGCTAAAAACGAAAGGGAGCTCACGTCAATAGATATAAACAATTCACCAAAGTTTAATGCAAATTGGTTAAAGCGTTTTGGAGTTAATGTCCCACATGTTGACGACGGACGGACAGACGGACGGACATAGGTTTACCATAATACGTCCCGTAAACGGGCGTATAAAAATGCTTGTTTTGGGACCCCTTTGGGCCCCTTATTCCTAAATGGTTGGGACCATCAACCCCAAAAACAATCCCAACCTTTTTTTTGTGGTATTGAACCTTTTGGTTAAATTTCATGGAGATCCATACACATGAACTAAAGTTATTGTCCGGAAACCAAATGTCTTCAGACGACGACGATGTGATAGCATTATACGACCCCAAAATTTTTTTGCGGTTGTATAAAAATTTAATAATGAAGTTTATATGTAACCTTGTTAAACATGTTGATAAGATAAGTAAACAGTTTCTTAACAAAAAATGCCTCTCTTTTATCTAAATCTTGATTAATTCTTGATAATTTTTATACGCCCGTTTATGGGACGTATTATGGTATACCGTTGTCCGTCTGTCCGTCTGTCCGTCCGTCCGTCTGTCCGTCCGTCGTCAACATGTCGGACATTAACTCAAAAATGCTTTAACCAATTTGCATAAAACTTTGGTGAATTGTTTATATCTATTGACGTGAGCTCCCTTTCGTTTTTTATAAATTTGAAATTTTACGTTTCTGAGTTATGGGGTTTTATTCATTAAAAAAAGGGGGATTTTCCAGTTTTTGGACAATAACTCAAGAATGCTTTCACCAACTTGCAAGAAATTGTGGTGAATTGTTTATATCTATTGACATGAGCTCCCTTTCGATTTTTATAAATTTTAGATTTAAGTTTCTGAGTTACAGGGTTTTATTCATAAAAAAGGGGGATTGTCCAGTTTTCTGACAAAAACTCAAAAATGCTTTCAGCAGTTCTTATGAAACTATGGTGAATTGTTTATATCTATTTAAGTAAGCTCCCTTTAGAATTTTATAAATTTTACATTTTACATTTCTGAGTTATAGGGTTTTATTCATCAAAAAAGGGGGGATTTTCCAGTTTTCGGTCAATAACTCAAAAATGCTGTCAGCAATTCTCATAAATTTGGTGAATTGTTTATATCTATTGATGTAAGCTCCCTTTACATTTTCATAAATTTCTAATATGACATTGAGAATTAATTGAACTTTAATTGTTTATAGTCTGACAACAGATTTACTAAGTATTGCGCAACAGCACAGTGTATTGCACAACAGCAAGAAGTCTTTAATTGAATATAAATTCAATTCATATAACAAATTTCAAGTTCTTTGACTACATTTATTCAGAAACCTGCAATATGTCAAATACTTAATTACAATCCAAATTCAGACCTGTATCAAGCTTGAATATTGTGTCCATTTTTGCCCCAACTGTTCAGGGTTGGACCTCTGCGGTTGTATCCAGCTGCGCTCAGCGAAGCAGTTTATTTAAATTGTTATGACATAACATTTAATACCAAGGATCTAAATGTACATGTACATCATCTAAATGCTTTGTGAAAAGTAACAGGTCTACCTTGTTGTTCAGAGAGACAACAGAAAAAAGAAGGTCAGTAACTGAAATGTCTTAAAAAATGTTTATATACTACAATAATAAAAAACATACAGACAATAGTGTGACAAAAACAATGACTATCTGTGAATAGAGTAAACAATATTGATACAGTGTACAATAAACCTTGTTAAGTATATGCTCATCTGAACTGTATATATCACTGTCATAACACTGACTACAGTAAATACACTAATAAAAAATGAAAAATCAAATTATCATCATTGTATGAATGTCTTAAAGTTTCTGTAGCACCACACACACACACAAGTTTATTGTTTGATGAAGTCTAATGCACTTTCTAAAAGTAAAGATAATTTCATGGTGGTCAGCCTTTTTTGATGAAAAAATGCAAAAGGCTAATCTTTAAAGAGTACCTTAAACTATATAAAACCAGTGCTGAAGGTAAATAATTAATTCTTATAGAGCTTGAGTAACACACAAACCTAGAGAAAACCAGATTACCAGGGATAAATCACTAATTCTTATAGAGGTCGAGTAACACACAAACCTAGAGAAAACCAGATTAACAGGGATAAATCACTAATTCTTATAGAGGTCGAGTAACACACAAACCTAGAGAAAACCAGATTACCAGGGATAAATCACTAATTCTTATAGAGGTTGAGTAACACACAAACCTAGAGAAAACCAGATCACCAGGGATAAATCACTAATTCTTATAGAGGTTGAGTAACACACAAACCTAGAGAAAACCAGATTAACAGGGATAAATCACTAATTCTTATAGAGGTCGAGTAACACACAAACCTAGAGAAAACCAGATTACCAGGGATAAATCACTAATTCTTATAGAGGTCCAGTAACACACAAACCTAGAGAAAACCAGATTACCAGGGATAAATCACTAATTCTTATAGAGGTCCAGTAACACACAAACCTAGAGAAAACCAGATTAAAAGGGATAAATCACTAATTCTTATAGAGGTCCAGTAACACACAAACCTAGAGAAAACCAGATTACCAGGGATAAATCACTAATTCTTATAGAGGTCGAGTAACACACAAACCTAGAGAAAACCAGATTACCAGGGATAAATCACTAATTCTTATAGAGGTCGAGTAACACACAAACCTAGAGAAAACCAGATTAAAAGGGATAAATCACTAATTCTTATAGAGGTCGAGTAACACACAAACCTAGAGAAAACCAGATTACCAGGGATAAATCACCAATTCTTATAGAGGTCCAGTAACACTCAAACCTAGAGAAAACCAGATTACCAGGGATAAATCACTAATTCTTATAGAGGTCAAGTAACACACAAACCTAGAGAAAACCAGATTACCAGGGATAAATCACTAATTCTTATAGAGGTTGAGTAACACACAAACCTAGAGAAAACCAGATCACCAGGGATAAATCACTAATTCTTATAGAGGTCGAGTAACACACAAACCTAGAGAAAACCAGATTAACAGGGATAAATCACTAATTCTTATAGAGGTCGAGTAACACACAAACCTAGAGAAAACCAGATTACCAGGGATAAATCACTAATTCTTATAGAGGTCCAGTAACACACAAACCTAGAGACAAGAGTGCACACGCTGAAATGTCTCGCCTTCTTTACTAATCATTGATATTATGTTGATAGTCCTAAATATAAAGCTTTATTACAACTGTCACATAAACTTAACATTAACCAAGTAAACTAAACATTGACCAATGAACCATGAAAATGAGGTCAAGGTCAGATGAACCATGCTAGGCAGGCATGTACAGCTAACAATTCTTCCATACAACAAATATAGTTGACCTATTGCTTATAGTTTAAGAAAAACAGACGAAAACACAAAAACTTAACACTGAGCAATGAACCTTGAAAATGAGGTCAAGGTCAAATAAAACCTGTGTGACTGACATATAGATCATAAAATATTTCCATACACCAAATATAGTTGAACTATTGCATATAGTATTAGAAAAAAAGACCAAAACTCAAAAACTTAACTTTGACCACTGAACCATGAAAATGAGGTCAAGGTAAGATGACACCTGCCAGCTAGACATGTACACCTTACAATCATTCCATACACCAAATATAGCTGACCTATTGCATGTAGTATTAGAAAGAAAGACCAAAACTCAAAAACTTAACTTTGACCACTGAACCATGAAAATGAGGTCAAGGTCAGATGACACCTGCCAGCTAGACATGTACACCTTACAATCATTCCATACACCAAATATAGTAGACCTATTGCATACAGTATAAGAAAAACAGACCAAAACACAAAAACTTAACTATAACCACTGAACCATGAAAATGAGGTCAAGGTCAGATGACACCTGCCAGTTGGACATGTACACCTTACAGTCCTTCCATACACCGAATATACTAGACCTATTGCTTATAGTATCTGAGATATGGACTTGACCACGAAAACTTAACCTTGTTCACTGATCCATGAAATGAGGTCGAGGTCAAGTGAAAACTGTCTGACGGGCATGAGGACCTTGCAAGGTACGCACATACCAAATATAGTTATCCTATTACTTATAATAAGAGAGAATTTAACATTACAAAAAATCTGAACTTTTTTTTCAAGTAGTCACTGAACCATGAAAATGAGGTCAAGGACATTGGACATGTGACTGACGGAAACTTCGTAACATGAGGCATCCATATACAAAGTATGAAGCATCCAGGTCTTCCATCTTCTAAAATATAAAGCTTTTAAGAAGTTAGCTAACGCCGCCGCCGCCGCCGCCGCCGCCGTAGCCGCCGCCGCCGCCGGATCGCTATCCCTATGTCGAGCTTTCTGCGACAAAAGTCGCAGGCTCGACAAAAACCAGATTAACAGGGATAAATCACTAATTCTTATAGAGGTCCAGTAACACACAAACCTAGAGAAAACCAGATTACCAGGGATAAATCACTAATTCTTATAGAGGTCGAGTAACACACAAACCTAGAGAAAACCAGATTACCAGGGATAAATCACTAATTCTTATAGAGGTCGAGTAACACACAAACCTAGAGAAAACCAGATTACCAGGGATAAATCACTAATTCTTATAGAGGTCCAGTAACACACAAACCTAGAGAAAACCAGATTACCAGGGATAAATCACTAATTCTTATAGAGGTCCAGTAACACACAAACCTAGAGAAAACCAGATTACCAGGGATAAATCACTAATTCTTATAGAGGTCCAGTAACACACAAACCTAGAGAAAACCAGATTACCAGGGATAAATCACTAATTCTTATAGAGGTCCAGTAACACACAAACCTAGAGAAAACCAGATTACCAGGGATAAATCACTAATTCTTATAGAGGTCGAGTAACACACAAACCTAGAGAAAACCAGATTAAAAGGGATAAATCACTAATTCTTATAGAGGTCGAATAACACACAAACCTAGAGAAAACCAGATTACCAGGGATAAATCACTAATTCTTATAGAGGTCCAGTAACACACAAACCTAGAGAAAACCAGATTACCAGGGATAAATCACTAATTTCAAAGAATGATAGACAAAACCATAAGAAACAAGAGTGTTGAAGTAAATTACCAATTTGTGATTGATCTTTAAAAAGTATGAGGTAATTAAGAAAACTAGTCTATAGGAAAGCAAGGTATTGAGGGTAAATCAATGATATTTAAAGAGGAAAAAAAAAACTGTAGCATGCAAATAAAGTGCACTTGCTATTTTTACCAATAACACAACAAGAGTGCACACGCTGAAATGTCTCGCCTTCTTTACTAATCATTGATATTATGTTGATAGTCCTAAATATAAAGCTTTATTACAACTGTCACATAAACTTAACATTAACCAAGTAAACTAAACATTGACCAATGAACCATTAAAATGAGGTCAAGGTCAGATGAACCATGCTAGGCAGGCATGTACAGCTAACAATTCTTCCATACAACAAATATAGTTGACCTATTGCTTATAGTTTAAGAAAAACAGACGAAAACACAAAAACTTAACACTGAGCAATGAACCTTGAAAATGAGGTCAAGGTCAAATAAAACCTGCGTAACTGACATATAGATCATAAAATATTTCCATACACCAAATATAGTTGAACTATTGCATATAGTATTAGAAAAAAAGACCAAAACTCAAAAACTTAACTTTGACCACTGAACCATGAAAATGAGGTCAAGGTAAGATGACACCTGCCAGCTAGACATGTACACCTTACAATCATTCCATACACCAAATATAGCTGACCTATTGCATGCAGTATTAGAAAGAAAGACCAAAACTCAAAAACTTAACTTTGACCACTGAACCATGAAAATGAGGTCAAGGTCAGATGACACCTGCCAGCTAGACATGTACACCTTACAATCATTCCATACACCAAATATAGTAGACCTATTGCATACAGTATAAGAAAAACAGACCAAAACACAAAAACTTAACTATAACCACTGAACCATGAAAATGAGGTCAAGGTCAGATGACACCTGCCAGTTGGACATGTACACCTTACAGTCCTTCCATACACCGAATATACTAGACCTATTGCTTATAGTATCTGAGATATGGACATGACCACGAAAACTTAACCTTGTTCACTGATCCATGAAATGAGGTCGAGGTCAAGTGAAAACTGTCTGACGGGCATGAGGACCTTGCAAGGTACGCACATACCAAATATAGTTATCCTATTACTTATAATAAGAGAGAATTTAACATTACAAAAAATCTGAACTTTTTTTTCAAGTAGTCACTGAACCATGAAAATGAGGTCAAGGACATTGGACATGTGACTGACGGAAACTTCGTAACATGAGGCATCCATATACAAAGTATGAAGCATCCAGGTCTTCCATCTTCTAAAATATAAAGCTTTTAAGAAGTTAGCTAACGCCGCCGCCGCCGCCGCCGCCGTAGCCGCCGCCGCCGCCGCCGGATCGCTATCCCTATGTCGAGCTTTCTGCGACAAAAGTCGCAGGCTCGACAAAAACCAGATTAACAGGGATAAATCACTAATTCTTATAGAGGTCCAGTAACACACAAACCTAGAGAAAACCAGATTACCAGGGATAAATCACTAATTCTTATAGAGGTCCAGTAACACACAAACCTAGAGAAAACCAGATTACCAGGGATAAATCACTAATTCTTATAGAGGTCCAGTAACACACAAACCTAGAGAAAACCAGATTACCAGGGATAAATCACTAATTCTTATAGAGGTCCAGTAACACACAAACCTAGAGAAAACCAGATTACCAGGGATAAATCACTAATTCTTATAGAGGTCCAGTAACACACAAACCTAGAGAAAACCAGATTACCAGGGATAAATCACTAATTCTTATAGAGGTCCAGTAACACACAAACCTAGAGAAAACCAGATTACCAGGGATAAATCACTAATTCTTATAGAGGTCCAGTAACACACAAACCTAGAGAAAACCAGATTACCAGGGATAAATCACTAATTCTTATAGAGGTCGAGTAACACACAAACCTAGAGAAAACCAGATTAAAAGGGATAAATCACTAATTCTTATAGAGGTCGAATAACACACAAACCTAGAGAAAACCAGATTACCAGGGATAAATCACTAATTCTTATAGAGGTCCAGTAACACACAAACCTAGAGAAAACCAGATTACCAGGGATAAATCACTAATTTCAAAGAATGATAGACAAAACCATAAGAAACAAGAGTGTTGAAGTAAATTACCAATTTGTGATTGATCTTTAAAAAGTATGAGGTAATTAAGAAAACTAGTCTATAGGAAAGCAAGGTATTGAGGGTAAATCAATGATATTTAAAGAGGAAAAAAAAAACTGTAGCATGCAAATAATGTGCACTTGCTATTTTTACCAATAACACAACAAGAGTGCACACGCTGAAATGTCTCGCCTTCTTTACTAATCATTGATATTATGTTGATAGTCCTAAATATAAAGCTTTATTACAACTGTCACATAAACTTAACATTAACCAAGTAAACTAAACATTGACCAATGAACCATTAAAATGAGGTCAAGGTCAGATGAACCATGCTAGGCAGGCATGTACAGCTAACAATTCTTCCATACAACAAATATAGTTGACCTATTGCTTATAGTTTAAGAAAAACAGACGAAAACACAAAAACTTAACACTGAGCAATGAACCTTGAAAATGAGGTCAAGGTCAAATAAAACCTGCGTAACTGACATATAGATCATAAAATATTTCCATACACCAAATATAGTTGAACTATTGCATATAGTATTAGAAAAAAAGACCAAAACTCAAAAACTTAACTTTGACCACTGAACCATGAAAATGAGGTCAAGGTAAGATGACACCTGCCAGCTAGACATGTACACCTTACAATCATTCCATACACCAAATATAGCTGACCTATTGCATGCAGTATTAGAAAGAAAGACCAAAACTCAAAAACTTAACTTTGACCACTGAACCATGAAAATGAGGTCAAGGTCAGATGACACCTGCCAGCTAGACATGTACACCTTACAATCATTCCATACACCAAATATAGTAGACCTATTGCATACAGTATAAGAAAAACAGACAAAAACACAAAAACTTAACTATAACCACTGAACCATGAAAATGAGGTCAAGGTCAGATGACACCTGCCAGTTGGACATGTACACCTTACAGTCCTTCCATACACCGAATATACTAGACCTATTGCTTATAGTATCTGAGATATAGACTTGACCACGAAAACTTAACCTTGTTCACTGATCCATGAAATGAGGTCGAGGTCAAGTGAAAACTGTCTGACGGGCATGAGGACCTTGCAAGGTACGCACATACCAAATATAGTTATCCTATTACTTATAATAAGAGAGAATTTAACATTACAAAAAATCTGAACTTTTTTTTCAAGTAGTCACTGAACCATGAAAATGAGGTCAAGGACATTGGACATGTGACTGACGGAAACTTCGTAACATGAGGCATCCATATACAAAGTATGAAGCATCCAGGTCTTCCATCTTCTAAAATATAAAGCTTTTAAGAAGTTAGCTAACGCCGCCGCCGCCGCCGGATCGCTATCCCTATGTCCAGCTTTCTGCGACAAAAGTCGCAGGCTCGACAAAAACACTATAATGATGAAAAGCTGCAATCTGATTGAAATACAGATCCCGTGTCCATGCTTCATTTACAAAGATCTGAACAAAACCCTGTTCTACCTTACTGTTTTAAAAGCCTTTTTCTGGAACCTGTGATTTTTGATACACACCTTCAAAAATTTGGAGGCAGAATTTGCATTGGCTAATGTAATAATTACAGAGAAGAAAGTAGAAATGAGTGTTGCGAGATCCATGTAAGCAAGAGTGGATCTGTATTTTGATCAGATTGGAAAAGGGAAGTAATTTATAAGGCTAGTTATAAATTAACAGCTTAAAGAACTTTGTGATCAAAGTTCCCTTTTTATTCATTATCAACATGTTGTTTTTTATATAATGTAAATCTTGATTAATTATTCAATCAATTTATTAAATTGCTACAAAAAAACGTGTTCAAAAAATAATTATGCTGTCTTATACTGTGACTTGTAGGTATGTATTTCACTTTTTCTTTTTAAATTGTTGTTTTAAAGACAAAACACAAACTGTTTAATTGGCAAGAAATGTTTACAAATTTTGCAACAAACTAGTCCCTATAGTAGAGAAATTAAAAAACAGAGCATAGGTGTGTGTGAAAATTAACACTGTAAAGTTGGATGAAGTGCAAGGCTAGTACAGGTAATCTGTAAACAAGATAGCAATTATAATAAAATGCTCCGCAGGGCGCAGCTTGATACGACCGCAGAGGTCGAACCCTGAACAGTTGGGGCAAGTATGGACACAACATTCAAGCTTGATACAGCTTTGCATTTGGATTGTGATTAAATATTTGACACAGCATAGGTTTCTGACACAGAATGAATGTGGTCTAAGAACTTAAAAATTTTAAATTGGACATTCACCTATTATGGTCCAATATCCAAAATCTAAATACATGTTTAGATTCAGCATATCAAAGAACCCCAAGAATTCAATTTTTGATGAAAGTTTAATTTTGGACCCTTTTGACCTCAATGTGGACAAAGTTGATAATGGGGATCAAAAATCTAAATACATGGTTAGATTCAGCATATCAAAGAACCCCATATATTCAATTTTTTTTTAATTTTGGACCCCGATTTGGACCAACTTGAAAACTGGGCCCATAATCAAAAATCTAAATACATGTTTAGATTCAGCATATCAAAGAACCCTAAGAATTCAATTTTTGTTAAAATCAAACTAAGTTTAATTTTGGACCCTTTGGACCTTAATGTAGACCAATTTGAAAACGGAACCAAAAATTAAGAATCTAAATACACGGTTAGATTCGGCATATCAAAGAACCCCAATAATTCAATTTTTGATGAAATCAAACAAAGTTTAATTTTGGACCCTTTGGACCTCAATGTGGACCAATTTAAAAACGGGGCCCAAAATCCAAAAACTAAATACACGGTTAGATTCAGCATATTAAAGAATCCCAAGAATTCAAGAATAAAACCCCATTGAAATTGGTCAAGAAATAAGCAATTTATACGAAGTATCTTCTTTTGCACAATACTGTGCAATTAAATATTTCTTGCTATTGCGCAATACTGTACAATTGACAATTTCTTGCTATTGCGCAATATTGTGCTATTGGATATTTCTTGCTATTGTGCAATACTGTGCAATTGAAGATTTCTTGCTATTGCGCAATACTGTGCAATTGAAGATTTCTTGTTATTGTGCAATACTGTGCAATTGAAAATTTCTTGCTATTGCACAATACTTATCATATAATAATCCATCCTGTTTGGTGTGTATCTCCTACCATATCATTATTATTTGCTTTTAATATAAATCAGAAATAACCAACTTAAAATGGAAAATTTTAAAAGAAAAAAAAAATGAAAAAAAAAAAAAAATCCATCCCCCCAAATTTTTTGAACCCCCTTATGATTCATCACCCCCAAACTCAATCCCAGCCTTCCCTTTGTGGTATGGTACCTTGCAGTACAATTTCAGAGAGATCCATACACTTGAACACAAGTTATTGTCTGGAAACTAGAAAAATGTGTTTTTTGGCCCCTTTTTTGCCCCAAATTCCTAAATGTTTAAGCAATTACCCCCAAATTCAAACCCAGCTTTCCCTTTGTGATATGGAACCTTGTAGTACAATTTCAGAAAGATCCATACACTTACACACAAGTTATTGTCCTGAAACTAGAAAAATGCTTGTTTTTTGTCCCTTTTTGGCCTCTAATTCCTAAAATATTGAGGCAATTATCCCCATCATCAATCCCAGCTTTCCCTTTGTGGTATGATACCTTGCAGTACAATTTCAGAGAGATCCATACACTTGAACACAAGTTATTGTCTGGAAACTAGAAAAATGCTTATTTTTGGCCCCTTTTTGGCCCCCAATTCCTAAATGTTTCAGCAATTACCCCCAAACTCAATTCCAGCTTTCCCTTTGTGATATGGAACCTTGTAGTACAATTTCAGAAAGATCCATACACTTACACACAAGTTATTGTCATGAAACTAGAAAAATGCTTGTTTTTTGCCCCTTTTTTGGCCCCTAATTCCTAAAATTTTGAGGCAATTACCCCCAAAATCAATCCCAGCATTCCTTTTGTGATATGGAACCTTGTGGTACAATGTCAGAGAGATCCATACACTAACACACAAGTTATGTCTGGAAGTTACAAAAATGCTTATTTTTGGCCCCTTTTTGGCCCCTAATTCCTTTACTGTTGATACCATAACCCCCAAAATTAATCCCAACCTTCCTTTTGTGGTATTGAACCTTGTGGTAAAATTTCATAGATATCCATTCACTTAAACTAAAGTTAGAGTGTGAAAACCAATGTGTCTTCGGACGACGACGACGACGATGCCAACGTCATACCAATATACGACCACAAACATTTTTTTGCGGTCGTATAAAAACCTGATAAAAAAGTATTGTTTTGATTTTGGTTTTCAAAATAGGTAACTACCATAAATATTTTATGAATCTTTTTGGACTGTTGTCTTAATATCTAAATTACTTCAATTTATCAGCACATCATCCAATCAAAGTAGGCATATCATCTGCTTACTGATCAGTGACCAATATTTCTGTCATTGGATGATATTTAAACAGTAAATTTTGATTACAAAATTGTCAGTTTATAATTACATTATTTTAAAAAAACTAAGTTTGCAACTTCTTAACTTTAAAAGATTTTGACTGTCCTGTTTAAGTTCTTTTATGTTTTTGGGATGAACATTTTTTTGTATATTGGTTATATGATCATGTCTGATTAAAGTTGTTGCTCAGAGACACAATGTGAGCACTTACAATGTATCATACCTTTATAATACCAAAGTCTTCATGCAACTTTACAGCTTGAAGTATTTTTTCATATAACTAATAGACAGATGATTTTAAATGGAATTCTAAAGTATATGCATTCTTTTTCATTTGAATTACTAATATTGATGTGATGTAAAATTTGTAGCTGTATTAGAGAAGTTTGGTTCCGTTTCTTGCCATTTGAACAATTTAAACTGATGATACAATCTGTAATTTATTCAAAACATTTCTTTTTGGAGAGAAACAGGTCATAGAAGGTAGATTTGACATATTTTTTTTCTAGCATGTACTTAGTACACATATTCTTTACCTAGAAATTTAAAAATATCTAACCTTATCATTATTTCTTGATTCTCCAGGAAGCCTGATCCTATCTTCATACACGTCTACCCTGTTGCCATAATTACCAGGTTTCATTCCTTTAATATATGCTTTCCTAGCATTTGCTAATTTAGTTGTTTCCCTTGAAAGAGGAAGTGGATTAGTAGCCAGGGCTGGGTCTAAAATCTCTACAGTTCGTGTAAATGGCACAAAGTCACTATCACCGAGTTCATAAGTCACAGGGTTTGTGTCCCCATATTTATATAGCTTCCCTCGATGATCAAGTCCTCCCTCCCCACCTATTTTATGTTTGAGGGCAGGTACAGGTGGAGAGGGAACTCTTTTTAATCGTTCATCTGTCCTTATAACTGATACAGATGGTGATGGAGATCGCTCCCTGTTGTATGGTACAAGTGCTCTGTTTGTCTGCTCAGGTGATCTTGACCTTGACCTATTGATAACCAGACGATTGACCTCTGGCTGCCCTACAGGAGAATGTGATTTATTTCTATGACAAAGTCTATCAGTTCTTGGTGTAGTTTCTCCATCAGAATGAGAACCACATCTTGAAAGCCTCTCTGTGGGAATTCTATCTTTATTCATTTCTACCATTGCCATAAGTTCTTGTTCTCTGATCCGTCTTCGATGTTCACTGGCTTGACGTTTGTGCTGAATTGGATCTTTTTCTGATTGTTTTTTTGGATGTTTGTGTGCAGGATTTTGATAATTCCATAATTCTTTCTTCCTACTCCTGCTTCTTCTATCTGTTTCTCTAGGTTTTGGTTCTTCTTTCTGAATGACAGATCTTTTTTGATTGGCTGGTTGCTTTCTTGGCATTCTTTCCTCTTTTGTAGCACTTTTTACTCTAACCTTTTTGCCCTTAGAAACTTTGTACACAATGTCAACATCAGTCATTTCTCTGTATGTTCTCTGATCCATTCTACGACCAGTTTCTGAAAATTATATTTTTATTATTTTTTTTTAAATTAATCCAAACTATGGGAGCAAAGCTAAAATAATCTAATCTCTGTCCATTTACAATAATCTGAACAAATGATCTATTTAAAAAACATATTTATGAATATGTTTAATTTCAACGTAATTCTACTGTTGTCCTTTATAGCAAATCTCCGGGCAAACAACAAATTACTTTCCCTGTAGCTAAAATTTCTGGTCAGTATAATGCTTACCATTAATTACTGCTATGTTACCAGTCTGTGTACCAAATTCTCTTTTTGGAGACTGTCCATATCTGTACTGACTAGGTGTTAGTACTCTATTCTCAGTGTAAGGTTCTAACGCCAAACCGGATTTGTCTGTGTGTTTGTCTGTTTGTATTGGTCTAGGTGAGACATCAAGGTTTAAACCTGGTACATATGTTGGTTCAGTAGCCCTTGGTGTCAACTTAGCTATAAAATAAATAAAGATTTGTGTCTGAGTGATGGACTAATGTGCACAAGACTTCTACTTATGTTGTCATAATGGTTCCAACTGCAGACATCATGCCTTTACTGCTGCAAGTTTACATGTAAGTTATAGAAACTAAAGACACAAATGCAATATGAAAGATTATAGGAACACTTTATCTAAAACAATTCTTAATAAATGACTATGCAAAGTGAAGCATGAAATGTCCCAAACTTATCACTAAGGAACAGTCGAAGAAGTATATATTAAATGCCAGTCTAGATACAGTATGTTTTTGAAACTGTAATATGATGGACACGATCACATTGTTTTTGATACAATTGATTAATAAGGAACAGTCTTAAAGTGGTAAGAGCAAATCTGGGGAAAAAACTCAAAAGATTTTTTTAGAAGAATAAGTTGGGAAAAAAAAATCATTAGTCCAATAAAAACAGACATTGCCAAAAGGAAAAAATACAAAAAGACTAAAAATAATAACAAAATACTAAAGAAAACAAAAGATCGAGTAGTGTCGCCAAAAACTGAGATTGAACCCAGGTGGTTCTGGAAGGATAACCACTTCCTGCTCCACTAGTGGCATCCATCATCACAAAAATAATAAGTCTCTTTCAGTTATGTCCAAATCAAGGAAAAGAGGATAAAACGGTTAAATTTAGAAAATCAAAGAATTCCACAAAAAACTTCCTTTGATACATGAAAAATGTCTAAAATGGTCGGATTTCACTATGCAAAGGACTACATTTTTTCTAAAAAAAGTGTCACTTGTACTGATCATGGATTGTTTTAGTATTTTACCATGGCTGTGGATACATGATGTCTACAGCAGTCATATAAAAAATGGTACTGAAAATTGGTTACTTAGTATTCAATGAAGTAAAATGACAATAATAAGATATTAAGTCTGGCATGCAAAAAAAAAAAGATATTGATGGAGGGATACATGATATAACGAGAAAGAATTGTAATTATAAATAAGCTAATTTGAAACAAAAATTCTATAGTATCAATGTGGAAAAACAATTATTTACCTGAATAAACTAATAAATTGCTTTGCTAAGTGCAGCTGGATACGACCGCAGAGTTCCAACACTGAACAGTTGGGGCAAAAATGGACACAATATTCGCGCTTGATACAGGTCTGAATTTGGATTGTAATTAAATATTTGACACATAATAGGTTTCTAACACAAAATAACTGTAGTCAAAGAACTTAGAATTGGTTATATGATTTGAATTTATATTCAATTTTTTGCTTTTGTGCAATACACTATGATGTTGTGAATTGACCCCCCCCCCCCCCAAAAAAAAACAAAAAAAAACAAAAAAATTTGAAGAAATTTTCTGAAATCTGAAATCAGAAAAAATTGTCCTCCCCTCCCCCTCACAATTTCTTTTTTACCCCCCCCCCCCCCTTTTTTCAAAAAAAAAAAAATTCTTTCCCTCAAGATATGGTCATAATCTCAATTCAAATTTCCAATGGAGTTTGCAACCATAATTACCCATTTGAATACATTATAAAAGTCTTAAAATAGAAATGACATACATAATCATGGCTAAAATTAGTATTCCTTAATGAGCATTTTTAAATAGTAACTTCTAAAAATAAATTGACAGCTAATCACCTCAAGACAATTAAACATTTCTTTATACATAATTTAAAAGCAGTGTAAGGGAGGTAATCCAAACATAACATTGTACTTTTTTTAATTGTCCATTAACCAGGAAACCCTTGTTTTACCCCCTTTTTTGCCCCTTATTCCTAAACGGTTTGAGCCATAACCCCCCAAAGCCAATCCTAACCATCCCTTTGTGGTATGGAAACTTGTGGTATAATTTCAGAGAGATCCATACACAGTTCCACCAGTTATTGTCTGGAAACTAGAAAAATGCTTATTTGGGCCCCTTTTTGGCCTCTAATTCCTAAACTGTTAGGACTATAACCCCCAAAATCAATCCTAACCTTCCTTTTGTGGTTATAAACCTTGTGTTTAAATTTTATAGATTTCTATTTACATTTACTAAAGTTATTGTCCGGAAACCAAATGTCTACAGATGACGCTGACAACGAGATACCAAAATTTTTTTTTGCGGTTGTATAAAAACATAATACACAAAACAAATTAGTAGTGGTAACAAATCCAAAATAACATAAATCTATATATTTTGCACAAGAGTTATATATTTGCAAATATGTGACAATTTCCAGTGTATTTTCTCAAGCTGTGCCCCTACTAGACCTTGTTACTGTGAAGGCTATATTTTTTTACCTTACACAAACCTCAAGGTGCAAATGATCACACCGGTATTTGTATAGAATCAGAATTTCTGAACTAAATTATTTTCCAGATATTAAAGATTGTCTGGAAAATACTTGTACATACATTTTTGTGATAGGTTGACAATGTTAAAAAAAATGCTCTGCTGGGTGCAGCTTGATATGACCGCAGTGGTTGACCCTGAACAGTTGGGGCAAGTATGGACAATACATTCAAGCTTGATACAGCTCTGAATTTGGATTGTGATTAAATATTTGACACAGAATGAATGTGGTCAAAGATCTGAAAAATTTGAAATTGGACTTTTACCAATTATGGTCCAATATCCAAAATCTAAATACACTGTTCGATTCAGCATATCCAAGAATTTAGTTTACTTATTCATTAATAGACAATAATAATCAAGTTTTGAAAAGGGTTCACTTCATCAAAATATATATAGAGAATATCATATGGCTTTTTCAATATCACATCCCTACTGACCCGAGACACCAATATAATCCCAAGAGCTCTGCTTGAAGGATTTAATATTGGTTGAGGGTTGATACGGTGAGTGATATTGAAAAAGCCGTATCATATTCACTTTATTATTTACCTCAAGTAGATGTTTTTCACATGACATGACGTAATACAGATTATAGGTTTGATAAAGTCTTTGCAACAGGGACTGATATTGATGACGTGATGTCATACAGATTAAAGGTGTGATAAAGCCTTTGCAACCGTGACTGATATCGATATTATCCTGGATGGCTGACACAGCACGATTGACGTTGACCATATTACACATACAATTTATCTGTATTTACTACTAAGTATATAATAAATATATTTATTATATACTTAGTAGTAAATACAGATAAATTGTATGTGTAATACAATCATTGGCAAGCATGCTGTATCAGCCACCCGTGATGATATCAATATCAGCACGGTTGCAAAGGCTTTATCACACCTTTAATCGGTATGACGTCACGTCATCGATTGCAGTCATTGTTGCAATGGCTTTATCAAACCCCTAATCTTTTGACGTCATGTCAAACCTATAATCTGTATGACTTCATGTCACATAAAAAACATCTACGTGAGGTATTTGTATATAATAAAGTGTACATGATATGGCTTTTTCAATATCACACACCGTATCAACCCTCAACCAATATAATCCCTCGAGCAGAGCTCTTGGGATTATATCGGTGTCTCGGGTTGATACGGATGTGATATTGAAAAAGCCATATGATATTCTCTATATATATAGCATTCTGAAAATTAATTTATACAGAATATAAAAAAACCTACCAGGGAATTCTTCAAAATATTTTACAAAGAAAATGAAATTTTTTTCCCAAAATATCATTCCTCATTAATAATATGTCTTTAAAAAATCTATAAAACTTACCTTTAATTTTCAAAATATATAATATTAAATGAACAGTAAATTTCAAACTATATTTATACATAACTTCTTCTGTAAAAATAGAATTTATATTGTATCTACTTTTAACTATGAATCTACTTACAATTTCTATTAATTGTGCAATACAGCTCTGAATTTAGATATATTAAATTTAATTTGATTAAATATTTGACATAGAATAGGTTTCTCACACAGAATGAATGTGGTCTAAGAACTTAAGAATTTGAAATTAGACATTGACTTATTATGGTCCAATATCCAAAATCTAAATACTGTAAATTTAGAAACTATTGCGAGGTTTTTATTATTGCGAATAATGGGAATAGTAAGAACTCGCATTCTGATATCTGATACATATATCTGTATGCAGATTTTCCTGAAATCTCACATTTTTGTCTATTCTTCAATAATCGCAATAATAAATGCACGCAATAATTTCTGAATTTACAGTACATAGTTAGATTCAGCATACAAAAGAACCCCATATATTCAATTTCTGATGAAATCAAACGAAGTTTAATCTTGGACCCTTTGGACCACCTGAAATCTGGGCCTAAAATCAAAAATCTAATTACATGTTTAGATTTGGCATATCAAAGAACTCAAATAATTCATTTTTTTATGAAATCAAACAAAGTTTAATTTTGGACCCTTTGGACCTCAATGTAGACTAATTTAAAAACGGGGCCCAAAATCCAAAATCTGAATACAGGGTTTGATTCAGCATACTAAAAATTCAAAGAATTCAAGACTTTGAATTAAATCCCATTGAAATTAGTCAAGAAATAAGCAATTTATACAAAGTATTCGAAAAGTATTGTTTTTGGACCCTTTTCCTAAATTGTTAGGGCCATAACCCCCAAAATCAATCCCAATCGTCCTATTTTGGTATGAAACCTTGTGGTACAATTTCATAGAGATCCAAAGACTTATACTCAAGTTATTGTCCAGAAACCAGAAAAACCTAGTTTTTTTCCCCTAATTACTAAACAGTTTGGGCCATAACCTCCAAAATCAATCCCAACCTTCCTTTTGAGGAATGGAACCTTGTGGTACAATTTCTATGAGATCCATACACTTATACTCAAGTTATTGTCTGGAAACCAAATGTCTTTGGACGAAGGCAACAATGCTGGCAATGCCATAACATTATATGACTGCAAAAATTTTTTGTTGTATAAAAATGGAATATTTAACAACAATATGATAATAACTTTTAACTTTTGGTAAACAGGATAAAAACAAGAAATGATTGTAACAGGATGCTGTTACGAAGTCTCCCAAACGAAGCTCCCATAATTCGTAATTCCCAGGGTCGCCTGACATTGGGCAACGTCCATTGAAAATTGGTTTGGTCCAGTAAAGTTATATGCATTAGTGATGCCTGGGGACTAACCTTGTATATCATTCAAATCATCTTGGCATGACAAACCAGAATAAATATGGTTTAGGGGTGGGGATCTCAACCATTTACAAGATACTAGAATATTGGGGGTGGGGAGGAACCCCTGGGGACTGGCCCTATACGTCATTCAAATGTTCATTACATGACGAACAGGAATATATATGGTTTAGGGGTGGCGATCTCAACCATTTACAAGATATTAGAACATTGTGGATGGGGGGAACCCCTGGGGACTGACCGTATACGTCATTCAAATGTTCGAGACATGACAAATAGGAATATATATGGTTTAGGGGTGGGGATCTCGACCATTTACAAGATATTAGAACTTTCTCAAATGGCAGGGGGTCAGGATGACCCCTGGGGACTTACCCTGTATTTCATTTGATGTGCTTTATCATGACAAACCAGAATATATATGGTTTAGGGGTGCGGATCTTGACCACTTAGAAGATATTAGAACTTTCTTAAATGGCAGGGGGTGGGGGTGACCCCTGGGGACTTACCCTGTATAACATTTGATGTGCTTTATCATGACAAACCAGAATATATATGGTTTAGGGGTGGGGATCTCGACCATTTACAAGATATTAGAACTTTCTTAAATGGCAAGGGGTGGGGGTGACCCCTGGAGACTAACCCTGTATTTCATTTGATGTGCTTTATCATGACAAACCAGAATATATATGGTTTAGGGTGGGGATCTCGACCATTTACAAGATATTAGAACTTTCTCAAATGGCAAGGGGTGGGGGTGACCGCTGGGGACTAACCCTGTATAACATTTGATGTGCTTTATCATGACAAACCAGAATATATATGGTTTAGGGGTGGGGATCTCGACCATTTACAAGATATTAGAACTTTCTAAAATGGCAGGGGGTCGGGATGACCCCTGGGGACTTACCCTGTATATCATTCAAACCATCTCAGCATGACAAACCAGAATATATATGGTTTAGGGGTGGGGATCTTGACCACTTACAAGATATTAGAACTTTCTTAAATGGCAGGGGGTGGGGGTGACCCCTGGGGACTTACCCTGTGTAACATTTGATGTGCTTTATCATGACAAACCAGAATATATATGGTTTAGGGGTGGGGATCTCGACCATTTACAAGATATTAGAACTTTCTAAAATGGCAGGGGGTCGGGATGACCCCTGGGGACTAACCCTGTATATCATTCAAACCATCTTAGCATGACAAACGAGAATATATATGGTTTAGGGGTGGGGATCTTGACAACTTAGAAGATATTAGAACTTTCTTAAATGGCAGGGGGTGGGGGTGACCCCTGGGGACTAACCCTGTATTACATTTGATGTGCTTTATCATGACAAACCAGAATATATATGGTTTAGGGGTGGGGATCTCGACCATTTACAAGATATTAGAACTTTCTCAAATGACAGGGGGTGGGGATGACCCCTGGGGACTAACCCTGTATATCATTCAAACCATCTTAGCATGACAAACCAGAATATATATGGTTTAGGGGTGGGGATCTTGACCACTTACAAGGTATTAGAACTTTCTTAAATGGCAGGGGGTGGGGGTGACCCCTGGGGACTAACCCTGTATTTCATTTAATGGGCTTTATCATTTAGAACATTTTCAATTAAAAAGTTTGTGTCTATCACGAACGGTTTTCAATTTATAATCATTTGAAAATTTAAAAAAATAAAATCCCATAGAGTTCTATAGTAAAACCCTCTTTTCTTTTTGCCCCTCAAAGTACCCCTTTATAAACCCCATTGCAAAAACAAAACCCTGATTGCACCACAAGACATGTTAGTCTAACATATTGTGAAACCCTAAGTTAATCCGACAAGCGGTTTTGGAGAACGGGTGCGGACAAGTTCAAATTTAAAAGCGGCGGAAGAAGAAGAAGAAGAAGAAGAAGAATAATAATAATAATAATAAGAACTGAGCAAAAACAATAAGTCTTCCCAAACTTCGTTTGGGAGACTTAATTACCCAGAGTTCTCCAGAGATGGATTAAATATCTTGTAGAAAAAAGTAACACCCTGAAATAAACTTGTACATGTATTGTAATGGGTTTGTTTGTTCTCCAAATTTTGTAATTAACCAATTCATGAATAAATATGAAAGTTTGGAGTAAACAAAACTTATAATAATATTACGCTTTTACTGTTATTTCCATTTTCTTATAAAGGGCCAGAATTTGCAAAAACAATGGAAAAACAAGTTAAATAGAATGTCTCGTATAAGTAGAACTGACATGTGATAAGATCATACCATTTAAAAATCAGACATAGATAATCCCAATGTAATAGTTCATCAGAATATCAAAATTGTAAAATAAAACATAAAGGTCTTGATATTAACAGGTAGAACCTATACTGAACAAAAAACTAAATTTTGTACTAAAAACAGAATAAAATTTTACAATATTGAATACATTACAGAATGTACACAAATATAAACTGTCCCTGTAAATAAAATGGCTGAAAATGTAGTCAAATGCAGATCATGATTCTTATGATACTTTTAAAAATAGCATGAAATGTATTGAATAAAATTTTAATACAAAGAAAATGTAGCAGTACAGATTATCCACAAAACAGGGCTAGTTCAAAGTGAATGGGACAATGTAAACCAATATTATATTACATTGTAGCATCAAGCTTATACCTAAGATAAGACTAAATAGAAATTGTATCAAAATGTGACAGCACTTTTTAGAGATTACTAAACATTAGAATAAGAAAGATAAGGTAGTGTAAATCATGGGATAAACCTTGAAATTCCTATAGTAAAATTCTACCAAATTTAAGTTAAATTACCCTAACTGTTTTAGGGATAGAAAAATGAAAGTAAATTTGATGCCAGCATTGCCTATGGCATAAGCATAACAAGTGTCCTTAAACCAAAACATTTATGCCTGAGATAGTATTATTCCAGATTGTTAACTTGTACCATTCAAATCAAATTTGGACTTTTTTTCTTAAATTTTTTCTTTGTTTATTCATGCAAATTTTTCTGTGCATATTGGTTAAATGTTCTTTAAATAATTTCACAACAAATCCAATAGTTTAAAAATGAATGCTATGATCTGTAAATGACTTGTGACAACACTGCACTGAATGATTGATGACTAAAGCAAATTACACCGTAAAATTCCTGTGAAACCCACAATCCTTGTGTGTCCACATATAAAATGATACCTAAGCGACCGCCTGTCAATATGTCGGCCATATTGTGACTGTAGTAATGTTGTGATGTGAAAAACTGATCTACAAATTAGAAAAATATTACAGCTAAAAGCTTAGATTTCTACAGTTGTAAATTGAGAACTATATCAAGTCTATTGGTTAAGCAATTGATTGCAACTTTAAAGAAAGATAATGCATTGTGAAGTGCACATAATAAATCACTTGTTAATAAGTAGTTAATTTCTTTTAAAAAAGTTGGGAATCATTTTCCTAAAATGAATGATTTGTTTTTGTACCATTACTTATTTTCTTCTTCTTCTTCTTTCAATACAGAGTCGGACTCTTCTTGAGTGTATAATGACTCTTGGTCATTTAATCATGAGGCCTTTGAAATAAGAATTGATAGCTTATTATCTCACAATCCTTTTAAATATAGACCAGTCTTTTTTTTAACTGATAATGCCAAAACTTAATGAGTGCCTTATTTATTTCCATAAAAATAATCCAAAATTTTGGACAGTCAGATGGTTTGTGTTAAATCTTATTGTTGTAACTAAAATTTGCAGCAAATATTCCTTTTCAGCATGCTATGTTTTTAAAAGAGTGAATTGTAGTTTCACAAAGCCATGCAGGAAAGTTATTATTCTTTTATAAATATTAATTCTGTATTACATGTGTATTCTTATTGTTATCAAAGACAGAAAGTAGTGCTGTTAATTCATTTAATCATTTTATGAAAAATTACAAAATTAGAGAAAATTGTGCATGGAAAGAGGATTATTTTATACCTCTAATAGTAGTTGGTGGTTCTCGAACAGTTTCTACGGCAGGATATCTAGCTGTCGACTGCTTCTCTAAAATCAACACACATATAAAGAATACACTATATCATCATGTCACATGATACCCATACATGCAAATGAGTATAGATACTAAGGTACTGCAAGCTAGGCTAATATATCCCCATTTGTTTTGAAATTATCTTAAAATACAATCTAACAAAGTTAAATACTGTTATTCATGAACTTGACCTTCCAAAATAACATTCAAACCATTTTTCTGTCACAATCTTTATCATTACTAAACTAGTTTCTGTTTGTATATTTGTAGATTTTTCCAGTACTATGTTACCTACACTAATCTTTATTGTATCTTGTTTTCTACTAATAACCTACCTTATAAGGGCATTATAAACAATCATGAGAGAAATTTACAATCTATAAACATGCTATTGAACTGAAAGACAGTGAAGTGGTGTTATTGAATTCAAATGGTTGACTTGTTAAGGTGTTTTGTCTACTTTTTGACAGAGAAAACAAAACGAGGATATATGATATAAAATACATTAGACTGTAGAAGGAACAAATCTTACTACAATTGTTTTCTAGCTCATCTAAATATCATCTGAATATCTGAAATTACCCTGTTACAGAATACTACTTACTATGCATAATATAGCATTGTTCTAATGTTTGTTTGGTTAAATTTGTCATAACCAAAACAAACTTAAATTATATCTGTACCGAGTGTGTTATGCTTGGCAATATTAGTCATGCTTACAATACACACAAATCATGCTATTAGTATATTAAGTCTGAAGCTTACTATTTGACATTTTATAAAAACAAGTTCTGTTAATATCAGCAACACATACACATAAATTTGAAACGTTCATTTGTCTGTGTGTCTATGAAACACTCAGTAGGAATTATTCATGAGTATCAAATCAAATGAAAAACTTAATAAATGGTAGCTAGATGGCAACATGTGTTATATTTTTCATTTTGGATTTTTCAAAAATTAGAATTTTTATAACATCAAAATTAGCATTTATCAAAAATGTTCACCAAATTCTGAAAACTGGCTAATCCAATTGGTTTTTAGGACCAGAAACATATGGTGCATGTTTCTACAAAAAAAAACATCTTACTCTAAATTATTGGTTGTTTTTTTTAAAATAAATTATCTGATTTATCTCCCTTTTATAACACAATTTTAAATCAATAATCAATAAAAGATAAAAATATTGACTTTTAATAAATGATAAGCATAGAAAACTTAATTACCCTGCAGATTAGCTTTCAAATGTGAAACATCATGTCCTCCTTCTTCCAAATGCTGCATACGTTTCTGATACTTCTCACGCTGAGCAATTTCATTTGCTTCATCCATAGCTGCTTTTAAATTCTCCACCTGTTGTTGTCTTCTCATCTGAAGATATTCAAATATCGATAGTTAAGTTACAGCTATTTTCTACATAATCACCTTGCATCAGAAACCAGTCATCTTGTTTACAATTTTTCTTGCAAGTTTTTTTTCTATTAACTTTGTTACAGAAACAATAAAAGAATTTAGCTGAAGTATTCAGAATTGACTAAGAAATAATTCATGGAAGCCATAGATTTGTAGGATATTTACACATGGCCTGGGCCGTGATATTCGAATATTATCCCGAGCGTTAGCGAGGGACAAAATTAACGAATATCACGGCCCAGGCCATGTGTAAATGCCCAACAAATCTATGGCTTCCATGAATTATTTCGATTCTAATAGGACAAATACGGTAATTTAAAAACTGAAGCGAACGTAAGATTGCCGTGTGTATGGCTGTTGTATTTTACCCCCGTAAGATAAAAGCTACAAATTTCATATAAATCTAAGTCTTACATGAATTATTTCTCAAATAAGCAGTAGAAAAAATGTGTTCAATTCTCATAATTCTTAACCCAAACATTTATTTTTCGTTGGCTACTATTTACTGTCAAATCCAGAGTTAACATGTCATAACTAAGGAGTGAGCCGCCATATTGACTTGCTGAAATCCACAAATGTGCGAATAATGCAATGGAATAGAAAATGAAACAACACCTACCTCAAAACTCCATTTTAATGCAATATTATCCGAACTTAGGGCGTATACATAACGGTAACATTCAGCTTTAGAGTTTTCATTCGTATGACGTCATGTCATGACATGACGTTTATGCGCCAAGATCATTCATGAAATTTGGCGGAATTTTATTTTATTTTGATTTTATGCATTTTTTAAGCTCTTGTGCATTAATTATTTTTGTTATGCAATATAATAGGAATAACGGTTCTGTAGTTTCTTTTTCAATTTCAATTTGGACACAACGAAATCGACATAATGTTTGCACATAGGTTTTAATACATGTGGATTTACGTGGGAGGTAAATAGTAATGTTCAGCCACCAATATGCACATCTCTGAGTCTGCGCAAAGTATAGATATATCGAGAATTTTATCACTGTGTTGTTTACAAAGCGAAAGAAGCACGTCATATTAGAATTAGTGATAGTATTTTTGATTCAGATAAATTTTACTGGATTTTAATAACCAGAATCTTATTAAAGCTTCAGGACTAATTTAATCAGAATTATGCAAGACAATTGGTTTTACAGACTTTAGTTACAGAAAGTAACTTTAAATCATATATTACTTGATATAATTCCCCTTCTTACATTTCAAGTGAAGGGCATGAAACTTAGGAAAGGGTGTTTAATTGAATCATGGACAAAAGGAGATTAACCAAAGCTATTATCTGTATCAGATGCAAGATTTTGCTAAACCAGTAGTGAAATCATTTTGGCCTGAAAAATAGCTGTGATGTTTCTGAACAAAGTCTGCTTTTAATTTTAGTATATTATTTCCACTTATTCTATATCTGAAGTACGTGCATTAAGACTGGTTAAAAAGAAAAATTTACAAGTCTTTACTGAACTGAATTTTACTCGTTATTGTCCTAATAATTGTTAGTAAATTACAGAAAAGTTGAAATGAATGTTTGTATGACAATACTAGATCTGATATTAAATTGTCTCAAAGGCTAACCTCTCTTGCTTTATTTTTCTGGATGTCTGAATCAAATATTTTCTGCTGTTTTTCTCTTTCTTTCTGTAATTTCATCTCTTCTTCCATATCCTCTTTCATTTTTCTTTCCTTTTCCATTTGTTTCAATCTCTGTTTTTCTTTTACTTGTTCCATTATTGCATTCTAAAAAGTTGTTAAGGTCAGTACATAATTATGTTCACTATTTTACTAGTACACATGTATCTACTTAAAGACAGAATAATATCAAAGACTGAATTTCAGTGTTTATAACATCATAAATTTATAGGAATTTCTGATTATATTAGCGTTTACCTATATTTGGCGGAAGGGGTGTATTTTTCCCTGTTTCCTTTTTATATTTACATTTCTTCTGATTTATTTTTGTTCCCCTTTTGAAATTGTCTATGTTCTTTTTAATTTTGTTAATTTTCGTCTCTCGCAATTGTCTGTTCTTAGTACATATTTTGTTTTTTTATATTTTTTCCTAATTATTTGTGTTCTTGTTATTGAATTTTAAGTTGTATATTTCCTTTTTGCTATTGTCTGCATTCAGAGAAAGTGTGACAAGTTCAGTGCAAAACTTTTCATGTAACCTGGTACAATTTCAGCGTCCATCCACCAATTTCAAAAATGGAAAAACACTGATTTGTTGATATTTTAAACTGGATCATGGAAACATTACAAGTTTTGAATAAATCACAAGATTTGTCAAAGATTGTTAATCATTTTCACATCAAATATTTTTTGCATTATTTAATATTTGATGAAATTTCATCATTAAAGAAACTGTGTAATAATGGCAGGAATTTTTACTCAATTTCAATATAAAAACAAGATTACTACGTCATAGTGAAATGTGCACCTTGCTGTATAAATGAAGAATTAAATTGGGTTAAAAAGAAGTTAAAATGAATTGAGAATACATTGATAAAAGTTACATTGATAAATGTTAAAATAAATTAAGAATACAATGATACAAGTTTTAAAGTAAATTAAGAATTCACAGGAACATTTGTGATTCTATTGAGAAATACCTGGTGTTCCAGGTGACGTTTCCTTTTTTCTTCCTGTTCTTTCTGAGTTACAGAATCCATGAAGACATTCTGTCCTCTTATATGAGTCCTGAAAGAAAACATTAATAGATATTTAAACTATCAATGATAAATAACTGTGCTGTGTGCCTTATTAACTCAGATCTAAACTGGTGTTTGATATCTTGAATGGGAATGAAATATGATAGGGTGATCCTGGTAAACTTCCAAGTAAAGAAAAAAATGATGCTGGTATGACAATAATGCATATTTCTAAAAATATTAAATGTACTTTCAAGGAAGCAAATTTGATGCAGTCTTCACAAATATGTTATTGAGATATTAATTACACCTTATAGAATGCAAATAATACTAAATGCAAAAGCAATAATCCACATTTGTCCATTGTCTTACTTTCCAATGTGAATAAAATAAAATGTGGGGTTAATGTCAATGAGACAGCAATCCATAAACACAGATAACCAAAATACATCTAGAAGTCAACATCAATAGAAATAAGAAGATGTGGTATGAGTGCCAATGAGACAACTCTCCATTCAAGTCACAATGTGAATGTTAATGTCATCAAGGTGGCATGTTATTGTAAGAAGAATTGTGGATTTCTTTACTGATAAAATTACTAAAAAACAGGTTAATTTTGGTGGAGAGGTGTCTCCTTGTTAATCATACCACATCTTCTTATTATTAACAGTAACATTTGAAGTTAAAATTCCTGAACCGGAAAGTTTTTTCAATAAGGAAAATGTTTTCTATAAATGAAAATATTCAAAGTATAAGAAGAATACTTTGGTTCATCATCCTCAGGAAATTGATTTGGAGCACTACTGGTCCTTCTTGTATCAAGGATATTCTCTTTGGTTATCAGATGTTCCTCTGGCCCATACTGTTTAACTGACTGATCTGGTAGTGGTGCAGGCCTATAAGGATTGCTAAATTTGTCTGCCCATGTTTCCTCTGATGCCTTGATTATATTCATTTCCTTTAATTCTCTCAACTGCTTTTCTTCCCTTTGTTTATCTTAAATATAAGCATTTAAAATTGTGCTAAAAGTTTTGTTCAATTTCTTCCAAAATGATAAACACACAAATTTCACAACTGACGTAAGCTTTTTGTTGATTGACTTAATGATTATTTATCTATATATATTATATCATATCTAAATAGACTCGTTAATATATAAACATGTCAATGAGACAGCAACCCAAGGATACAAACAACCAACAAGATGGGTCGGAACAATACAAATGGCCACACTTGCTAATAAAGCTTGAAGTCATTTTCAGAAGTGGAAATTTGAGAATTAAAGTTCGTATAACTGTTATTTATCTGAAATTTTCAAGGTCCAAAGCCCGTAATTTCAGCAAACATCAGCGAAACAGAACCAAATGTAAACTAGATCTGTAACTCATCATAGAAGACTCACATACTAAAAATCAGCTCAATATGTGAAGGTGTTTAGAAAATGAGTCTGTATAACTGTTATTTTCGCAAGATTTTCAAAGTCCAAAGCCTGTAAATTCAACAAACATCAGCGGAGTGGAACCAAACCTGAACTAGATCTGTAACTCATCATAGTAGACTCACAGACTAAAAATCAGCTCAATATGTGAAGGCGTTTAGAAAATAAGTCTGTATAACTGTAATTTTCACGAAATTTCCAAAGTACAAAGCCTCTAATTTCAGCAAAAAATCAGCAGAGCAGACTAAACCTTAACTTCATCTGTAACCCATCATAGTAGACTCACATACTAAAAATCAGCTCAATATATGAAGGCGTTTAGAAAAAAAGTCTAGAACTGTTCTTTGTGGAATGTCTGTATGACACTTAAGGATAATACTATATGGACCCGACCACTTTGTAGCGGGGCCATAAAAAACATATAGGTCAACATACTGTCAGCTAACAATTGTAGGAAGACTGGTATATACACAAAAGAAAATAAGAATATATAATATGTATTTAATTATTGTCCTGAACATAGAATAATATTTGCATGTTGGAAAAAATTCCCTTTTTTATCTGCGACTTCAAATATTTTCTCTTGTTTATTTTTTATGTAAAATATTTGGTTTCTGTTGTGAAGTTAAATAAAGCGGTAATATCTTGGTGTAAATGTAACGTTGTTCTGGCAAATTGACAGTTGCCGATTTTGAGCTACGAAATTCCACCAATTTGTGGCTAACAAATAAGATTTATTGTTTTCATACTTGTTGTTTTTCTTCATCTCTTTAGTTACTGCTATTTACATGCTTGATTTTGCTAAATCTGTGTCAAGATGGACAAAATTGTGCTGGCTTTCTAAGTTATTCTATATCTATGTCCTCGCTGACAGTAATACACATGATTAACCTTTTATGTTAGCGACCTATTTCTTGCATGATTTGAATTTGAACTGATCATCAGAGAATATAGGTAAATACTTTGTACTGATTTAATGATAATATAATTTCTATTTCCTGAAGATAATTTAGTTATTATTTTGAAAGAAAATACTGGCAAAGGTATTTTGCATGATTGAATATCTAAAAACTATAGTTGAAATTAAGATTGAGAACAATCTTTACAGTTTTCTTAAATGACTGACAAACTTGAAATTCATGAATACCATTTACAATTTAAAGCAAAGCTAATCAGGATGGGAAAGAGTTTAACATCTGTGCCTTTTTCAGATAATGAATAAGATGTTGCAGGAGATGAAGTGCAAAGTATAAACACACTTGTTACAATGAATAAGACAGTGAGGAAACATTTCATGCTCATTGGGCATCAAAATTCAAAGAATCTTCAAACAGGAAATGACTGGCTGGCATGTCTGAAAATCTCTTACAAAACAACTCATTATGATAAAGCTCCAGACCAAATATCAAAATCCTATTTACAGTAAATGAGAAATATGTGACAAAAAATTTCTTGCTCAGTAAGTATTATAAAATTTCAAAGAATAGTCAAACAGGAAGTGATTGTGTGGTGGATCCAAAAATGACTAATACAGTCAGCTCATCATTTTTAAGTTCCTCTCCAAATATTAAATCATTCCATGATACAGAAGCTGAGAAATATGTAATAAAAGTCATAAATATGGGTGGGGACAATTAGAATGACAAGGTGAATGCAGTATATCATCCCATTCACAAAATACCAAAATTTATCAAATACCCGGTATCCCTACAGGTTAACTATACTACCAAATTGTTTAAACAGGGACTAAATCTAAGGATTGGATACAGAACAGCAAAGTTTTGAATCTTTTTACATTTTATGTAACCCGAATAATTCAGTCGTTATATTCCACTGCTCTACGATGGCTACATTAACGCCTGAAAGCCTTGACAATAAAAAATCGTCAAATAATCATTCGGAATTAGCTTGGGATTTACCTATCTCGATAACATTGAGCTATTAGCTGATTGGCTCTCTCTCACAGAGAGCACCAATCAAAATCCTGGATTCGCAACGCGTTTTTATTGTATAAAGAATTCAGGCCCTCGCTAGTGGGCGATCACGGGGAGGGACTGAATTATTCAGGTTACATTTTATGTCACTTGTTGTGATATAAACATTATACCAAATTTTGAAACAAAAAAACAATTTTGGATAGATATTCTACCTTTTTATCATGGCATTTTGCACATGAATGAGAAATTTTGAGAAGTTATCTTACCTAATTCCTGAACCCATTTCTGTCTTTCAAGCTCCTTTGTCTTCATGGCAGACTCTGAATCTGCACCTTGCTGTGAAAAAAAAATTGTAATAAGATACAGTTTACATAGTTAAACTCTCATGCTAATAATCAACTAATAAATTTTAAATGCATAATTTAATGATAAAGAGGCATTTGGTACACGTACATGAAAAAAAACTGGCCAAAAAAGTATGATAGAATATGATGAAGCCAGAGGCTATTCATATGAGTGTGTTTTTAACTTAAATGTTTATAACAACTAAAATGGAGATAAAATTATATTTCAACTGAATTGAAATTTGCTTGTAAAAAATGTAATTTCTGCAGCAGTTTTTCATTTTAGATTAGTTTTCCAAATATTACTTAAGGTTTCTAGGACACCTAATCCATTTCTGTTTATCTGTTAATTTATATACTGCCTACAGGATCTTAATTTCTAAAATGTGAGTCTTCTTATCACTTACTCCAAATACTATGGAAGACCTCATTGCAGCAGGTACACCTTCTTGTGTTCTCACCGTGTCCAAAGGTTCTGAATAGGATGGTTCTCCTCTTCTTTCTCTGGGTGGAGACGAGTAATGTCTTTGTCTAGGCTCTTCCTCTACTGTTTCTAGTTCATTATCCTAAGTAAGTAAAAGATACAATATTCCAGATTTATTTGTCTAAAAGTGATATAATATAATTGCGAAAAAACTTTTGAATATCATAATGTATGCTACAGGATCAAATTGTGTGGCTTTTTTTTTTAAAGAAAGTATATATTTTATATTGGCTTGAGTGCCATTTTTGGCAAATCATGAAACCAAATATCCACGAAAATACATTTATTCCTCAATCCACAAAAATAAAGAAATCCACAGTATTTGTTTTACTTACCAGTCAGTGAGTTCTTAATTGTGAAAGTTCAATCCAATTTTAAAACCAATGATGTGTTTAGATAAGTTCAATTTTAGTTTTAGCTAGATTCATTTGTTATGCAAAGGAAAAGAAGAGATATGATATAAACCCATGCCAAAAAATCCCTACAGGCATTGGACAAAACCAGAAGCAAAAGATCAGTAACGGTACTTTTATTGCTGTTCTTCAGCTCAGTCACAGTGAGGCATCACTGGAGAGTAAAGCAAAAGCTCATGTAACTGCAAATAGACCCTAGCATTCCTTTACCTAATTATGTACCGGTATTTATATTTCTGTGACATTAAGGGTTTAGATACAGGTTTGTTCTGAGTCGTTGATGTCAAGCGCAGTCAATGTTTGTCTTTGATTCAGTATAATTAACAATGAACACATCTGTTTTTAGTTTTATTGAGCTAGAACATGAAACCAGTTAGATCTGTATGCATGGGATCATGTTCAATTGATATGATACACAGACATCTAGCCAATCCACATATCAAATGATGTTGACCTATCACATATAGTTACTGATTAATAGACCTCATCCTGACCGTTGAAGTGTGAAAATAATGTCAAGGTCAACTGACAAGGTCTCGTCATTTACAATCTGCATTACCGGTAAATTTGCTATCCTAGAAATTGGGGGTAAGTATCTAAATTATTTGCAAATTTTGTACACCTCATAGCCTTAGAAGTAATACCCAAGTATACTTTCGCCACAGATGAGATAACAAATTGTAGGTCAAGTTGACCTCATTTGGTGACGGCATATATAACTATCCAAGATTTGTCAACTTACAAATATCAGTCCTCTAGCTGCTTAGATTTAGACCTAAAATGTATGATGACCTACTACTCCTCAATTTTATACACCTGCTCTTGATTTAGACTGCTGTATTTTAGCAAATATAAAGTTGACAATCTAGACATCTGAAAACTTGCAACACAATTTAGATTACCAAACAAAAGCATAGTACCAATACAACATTATAATATACCATGTTATTACATTTTCACCATAATCTCAGCTTTATTAACATTTCTGTACTAAATTCTGTATACAAACGTTTATTGGCTATTACACAAGATAATGTTTTCTGTGCTGTCCATGATGTTGCTAAAAGAGATCTGTTTCGAAGCATAACAGCCAATATTAGAGTATAATAAGGCAATTAAGATTTTGACATATGGTACCGCTTCTCGATTATTGTTGAACACAGTATGTTGACCTCTAACACAAATGTACAAAGTTGTATTGTTTGGTTGCTGCCAAATCTTCTAATATTCTTAAATTCGAGAAGAATGTATTGGTGGACTGATATTATTATAGATATCGGAGATATTGAATGCAAATCTTAACCAGAATGAAATGTTGGTCATATTGAAACACCTTCAGATGTTTTTTTCTTGATCATCAAGGTGGGACAAACTAGTCTCCTACCAGCCTGAACAGCTCATATCTTTTCTAGAAAAAATGTGCCATTTGGTATTTATTTTTGCCTTAATTGCAATCAGTTATGTTTTTTTTTCATTTGGAAGATCTTATCTAGTTGATCAGTTTTACTGCTTTTTCTCTATAATAATTACCAAAAACACAAACTTTTGGTAAAAAATTGTTATTTAATCAATAACTCCTATAAGAGTAGAATGGCAATTTTGAGTATGCTGAATTATTTGTAGTGCTTTAGTTTACTGATCAATTTTACTGTTTGCAGTTTCTTTCTATCTATCAGAGTTTTCATTTGGTAGATCTTATCTAGTTGATCAGTTTTGCTGCTTTTTCTCTATAATAATTACCAATAAAATGCTCTGCTGGGCGCAGCTTGATACGACCGCAGAGGTCGAACCCTGAACAGTTGGGGCAAGTATGGACACAACATTCAAGTTTGATACAGCTCTGAATTTGGATTGTGATTAAATATTTGACACAGCATAGGTTTCTGACACAGAATGAATGTGGTCTAAGAACTTAAAATTTTTTAATTTACCTATTATGGTCCAATATCCAAAATCTAAATACATGGTTAGATTCAGCATATCAAAGAATCCATAGAATTCAATTTTGGATGAAATCAAACAAAGTTTAATTTTGGACCCTTTTGAGCTCAATGTGGACCAATTTGACCAAAAATCAAAATACATGGTTAGATTCAGCACATCAAGGAACCCCATATATTCAATTTTTGTTGAAATCAAACAAAGTTTAATTTTGGACCCCAACTTGGACCAACTTGAAAACTGGGCCCATAATCAAAAATCTAAACACATGTTTAGATTCAGCATATCAAAGAACCCCAAGAATTCAATTTTTGTTAAAATCAAACTAAATTTAATTTTGGACCCTTTGGACCTTAATGTAGACCAATTTAAAAAACAGGACCCAAAATTAAAAATCTAAATACACGGTCAGATTTGGAATAACAAATAAATAAATGTGGTCAAAGATTTTACAAATCTAATGCGCCATACTGTGCAATTAAAGATTACTTCTTGAAATTTTTCAATATTTGAAATTTGAAAAAAAAGTAATATTTGAAGAATAATTCTTTTTAATTTCTGAAATCTGAAATGAGAAAAAATTGACCCCCCACAATTTCTTTTTACCCCCCCCCCCCCCCTTTTTCCCCCAAAAAATTCTTTCCCTCAAGATATGGTCATAATCTCAATTCAAATTTCCAATGGAATTTGCAACCATAATTACCCATTTAAATTTACCATAGTGCGAACTTAATCTATTTTATAATAGAATTTAAAATATGGTGTCAAATCTTTCATATGGATTTTTTTGTAAAAAAAAAAAAAAAGATGCAACATTTGCAGATATTTTTACTGGTCTTCCTTTATAAATATGCATTTCTTTAAACATAATTTAAAAGCAGTGTAAGGGAAGTAATCAAAACGTTGTATGTGGATTACCTCCCTTACACTGTTTTAAATTGTCTTAATTGTTCATTAACCATTACTTATATACATGAATTAAAAGCAGTGTAAGGGAGGTAATTCAAATGATGTATTTGATTTATCTCCCTTACACTGCTTAAGATTGTGTTGTGCACTAAAGTATTTGTCCATATAAAAATGCTTGTTTTTTGCCCCTTTTTTGGCCCCTAATTCCTAAAATTTTGAAGCAATTACCCCCAAAATCAATCCCAGCATTCCCTTTGTGATATTGAACCTTGTGGTACAATGTCAGAGAGATCCATACACTAACACACAAGTTATGTCTGGAAGTTACAAAAATGCTTATTTTTGGCCCCTTTTTCCTTAACTGTTGGTACCATAACCCCCAAAATCAATCCCAACCTTCCTTTTGTGGTATTGAACCTTATGGTAAAATTTCATAGAGATCCATTCACTTAAACTAAAGTTAGAGTGCGAAAACCAATGTGTCTTCGGACGACGACGACGACGTCATACCAATATACGATCGCAAAATTTTTTTGCGGTCGTATAAAAACACAAACTTTTGGTAAAAAATTGTCATTTAATCAATAACTCCTATAAGAGTAGAGTGGCAATATTGAGTAATCTGAATTATTTGTAGTGCTTTAGTTTGCTGATCAATTTTACTGTTTGCAGTTTCTTTCTATCTATCTGAGTTTTCCAGATAATTGCCAATTAAATATTCCGTAGGGCGCAGCTTGATAGGACCACAGAGGTCGAACCCTGAACAGTTGGGGCACGTATGGACACGACATTCAAGCTTGGTACAGCTTAGAATTTGGATTGTGATAAAAAATTTGACACAGCAAAGTTTTCTGACTCAGAATGAATGTGGTCTAAGAACTTAAAAATTTGAAATTTGACTTTTACCTATTATGGTCCAATATCCAAAATCTAAATACATGATTAGATTTAGCACATCAATGAACCCCAAGAATTCAATTTTTAATGAAAGTTTAATTTTGGACTCTTTGGATCTCAATGTGGACTAATTTGATAACAGGGCACAAAATCCAAAATCTAAATACATGGTTAGATTTAGCAAATCAAAAAACCCCATATATTAAAATTTTGTTGACGTTTAATTTTCGACCCCAATTTGGACCAACTTGAAAATAAAAAATCAATACATGTTTAGATTCATCATCTCAAAGAATCCCAAGAATTCAATTTTTGATGAAATCAAACAAAGTTAAATTTTGAACCCTTTGGACCTTAATGTGGACCAATTTGAAAAAGGGTGCCAAAAATTAAAAATCTAAATACACTGTTAGATTCGGCATATCAAAGAACCCTAAAAATTCAATTATTGATAAAATCAAAGTTTTTCCCGGACCTTTTGGGCATCAATGTGGACCAATTTAAAAACGTTGCCCAAAATTCAAAACCTAAATACACGATTAGATTCAGCATAGCAAAGAACCCCAAGAATTCAAGACTTTGAATTAAACTCCATTGAAATTGGTAAAGAAATAAGCAATTTATATAAAGTATTAGAAAAGTTTTTTTTTTTGGCCCCTATTTCCAAAAGGTGCATAACCCCAAAATCAATCCCAACCTTCCTTTTTTGGTATGGAACCTTGTGGTACAGTTTCATAGAGAGCCATAGACTTATACTCAAGGCATTGTCTGGAAACCAAAAAAATCCTAGTTTTTTGGCCCCTTAAGAGCAATACCTATAGGGAGTCGTCTAATAATTTGGGAGTAAATAGAATTGAGGTAGTTCATGACATTCTGTGAATTTTGGACCTGTCATATTTTTTCTGTCTATTATGGTTTTCAA